GGTATAGTTATGTTGCATCTTCAAAGAGTCTATCATGAAGCAAGAAGTATATGAATTAAATTTTTTGTTCGCAAATAATTCTCTATAGGTCTATAGGTCCGCACCTCAAATCGTGGTGTCTCTGGTGTAAAGGGAGACTTGAACTTGGCACTGTGAATTTTCTTAGGCTCACCGTTTTTGCATGTGTCGCAGAAATCAGGTCCCATGTAAGTTAGGAGACAGTCATCGACAGCAATTTCCGGCGAATCATACCACGCCTTTAAATGACAATCGAGTAAAACCTTAGTATCATGAGGGACCCCCTTTTGGCGGCTGCTATGTCACCTGAAAATGTCTGCGGCTGAGACATTGTCCAAAAATGAATATTTGGCCAAGAACCGAAGCTTCAAGGAGAAATTTAAAAACTGAAAGATAATCTCTCAACCAGGGACATTATCAGCCGGCATACCAGCAAGCTAGAAGAGGTTTTATTCAATTTACAACCCTCCCATTCATTTCCGTATCGCAGCATATTTTGCTGACTTTTGACGGAGCAGCATTTGAGATCAGCTTTTTTAAGTCGCTACAAAACTGTTCGTTTTTCTTCAAGGGTAGAAGGAAACTCTAGCACAACATTTCTTGAGTGATTTTCTCAGTCGCAAATTTAAATTTTTGTTCGAGGGAAAAGGTTAAAATGCAAATTAAAAAGGTTAAAAAGGTGTATCCTGATGGAGCAGGATCCATAGTATATGGTAGGGAAACTTCCCGTTTAATTAACACGTGAATGTGGGCTTGAAAAATACTCATTCTTTGGCCAAACGCAAGTTTCTCCTCCTTGTTTCCACGCGGTCGGAATACTTGCCGAACTATCTGATTGGCCAATTTTCGACCTCCTTCATTTTCTAGCACCAGGTGATCCATCTTTTTCCCCTCTAAAACAAAGCGAGGAACGAAGTATTAAATTGGCCTTCTCTGAATCGTGTTAACGAAATATTTACAATACGCCTCGTTATGAATAAACCATCATCAATGGAATTATTTATGACTTTTTATTTCTTGTTTTATTCTTACCTCTAATGGTTTAAAGTTCTTTAGAAATGTTCATTTGATAATAACAAAGCAAGGGTTAGTAGAACAACATCTCTTTGCGCGAAATTCTTTTTTAGGACCATATCATAGATTTATGGGGCTATCTACCAATCTAGCGTATCACCCACCTGTGAGGGGAAATTTGTAACCGGCAAACATGGGCAACAGAATCATTTGCTTTTTCAAATTTGATAACAACCAGGATCCCAGAGCTATTTTCATTCCCAAACTATCCCCGATGGTCCACACTGCATCAAACACAGATCTTCATTTCACAAATCCATTTTGGTTGTAATGAATAATTTCGGTGAGAAAAAGTTCGAGTCCCTTAGGAAGGCTTTTGAAACTATTCTCAAATCGACATTTGTTAGTGAGATACAGCGCCAATTTTGGATCAAACGACTACTCTAATCTTGTTTCTCAAAATAATCACCAATACTCGTCTCTGAGAAGAACAGAGTTGATCATGAACATGGGAGAAGTGTAAAGAGTCTATGAAATGATTTTCCAAAAGATTTCCAAACGGTAATTAAAATTCGGCAGTTGGGCCATCATTTCCTGATGTTTTGTTTTGCATGAACGATTCAATTCGATTGAATTTTTTAGATAAACACTGTTTGCCATTGTTCGCTCCATTATGAAAGTTATTCATAGAATCAACCAAAGTAAGTGAATTTTCCTTGTAAAGTTTAGAATAGAAGTTTTCGAATTCCGTCAGTATTTCCGTTGGTTTTGTTCTCCGACTATTTTCATCAACGAATATATTCTTAATGCAGATCTTTTCCTTTTTGTTATTTTCTAGGTTGAAAAAATATTTATTCCCCAGGAAGCCGTAGTCTTAGAAAATAGCCAAGTTGTCAGTACAGCTGTCATAACACAGTAAACAAAATGGATATTTCTTCGTCGGACCAGCAAGATTTTCATGATATCAATATTTGATTTGAATTGGGCTAAAACTTGTGAAAGAAGGCGCGGTGAGAACAGGGAAAAATTAAATAAGAGCAAATAAGATATTTTTGGAATATTGGCCTTATTTTTTCTCAGTGACGCTGCACATGGGTAAATTGTTGAATTTTGGGAGGTTTCTTGGCATAGAAGAGGAATCGGTATCTTTCTGTTTTCAACATTTCCTTAGCATACGCGGAAGATTGTGATCCATTGAAGGTAGTGAAATCTCCAATGTTGTGGGATAACGTGGGGTCTTTCCTCCGAGTCTTACACAACATGCCTGATCGCGAAGAATTTTTTTTGCCAAGAGCAAAGGATTTTTAAAAAGTATTTGGGAGCAAACTCGTGCTAGTCGTCGCGAACTCGTCGGGGAGGGGATAAACTTGTAATGTGGGGGACTAGGAACCGGTTATCATCTTCCAGGGTAAACGGAAGGGCTCCCAGATGATCTTGCTAATAATCTGCTCACAGGTCTTCTAGGCGTCTGTCCTCCAATAGATCATAGGCGAGAACCAATCTGAATGCGTAAACAATTCATCCCCTCACAAAATTACTCTTTGCAAATACTAAGGAACCTCCTCATCTTTTACAAAGCCAGATATTTTTTAAGTTCGAAAATAAAGTTGAACTAGGTATCCATATAATACTTTCGTGAATGATTCAATGAAACTGCGGAGTACCGGTATATCTCGTAGCCTTTTCTGGGATGTCACGCAACGTGCATCAGTTGCATGACGTCGCAAAAACGGCTACAAAGGGAACACGTGTCTGATACGCAAAAGTATAAATCTAGACATGCTGGATATGACTGTGGAACAAAAGAAGGAGCAATTAAGCTATTTTATATATGCTGCTACAAAACGAAGAGAGTAATTGTCGCAATTTGCTCCTAATTCTTTTCACCATTTGCCAAGAAAAAATATGAACAACAACGGCCAGTCCAAATTATTTTTACTTTCTGGCTACCTTCCATATTAAAATATTCATAAAAGCTAACTAAATGTTGCTGAGTCAGACTTAGCGAAAGAGCATCTCTTGGAATTAGATATTTATAATTGCTTGCAAAATTATTTATGTTTTTTGGAAATTTGAAACTCACTAGTGATTATTATTGCTTGATATAACGTACACATAACATTATTGAAAGTCTTTTCAATAAAATTGCGTGAGTTTGCATTTCCCTATTGTTTAACAACTCATTCCTAGTTTATCAGCATCTTTAGTTTCACCTGCGAAAATGAGTTGTCAATCATACTCTTCAAACAACTCTTTCCTCAAAAATATCCTGGCCAGTCAAGACTTTTATTTTCAGGGGAGTTTGTACGCCATCAAAGAGTTACTATGCGATACAATTTTTTACTGAACCATTCATTCTGGCAACTTTCCACTTACGTCAGACTTTAGCTTCAGGCTAAACCTAGACAAAAAGACAAATATTGATGAATTTAACACATTCTACAAGGTTTAATATTGAAAATTATGAAGATCAACACTTCTCCACGAAAAAAACCTATTTAAGCCCATTTATACCGAGAAATATCAGGTAAGAGAGAAAACCAATGTGGAACCTTTAATTCCTATGGATGACCAAGAAATAATTTCTCCTTACAGCATCAATACAATTCATTCAAAAGTGTACATGCGCTCTTCCTTTTTGCTTTTGTTTTCTAACTGACACGTATCAGATTGTGACAGACACACCGAAGTCCGTTACGGGGGTGAAAAAAGAAAACAATGAGAAAAGAAAAAATAAAGTTGTTAGCGCCGCACCTCACTCTCAGAATTCTGCGACCGATTTTTTTTTTTTCGACTGGTATAACGGACTTCGCCAACTATAGTCTACGTAATACCCCCTATGTGATCTTATGCGCCGATCAATTCAAAATGTCCCGGGTCCATTGAAGTGCAAACTTGGGGATCATTTTGTTCACCGGGATCACATACGCATCAGTTGCAAAGATGTAAAGATGACTCGCCCTTCGTGGCCGTCTTGCGATTACATCCGAAAAAAAAATATTAATCTAGTATTAGAGCAAATAATCTCTTTAGCTGCTATCTTCATTAGAGACTAGAGGAATTTTAAGAAAGGCACAGGGAGAAAACCCTGTGCACTAGAGGCCGTGAGTGGGGGTTAAAATGTCTCCTTGCTCCCCAACCTCTCCAGTGGTATGAAAACCACTGGTACTGACCACTCGAAATGATGGAATCAGAATGTTTTCGCACAGTCCTTGCAGCAGTCCGATCGAAATTATTGGTATATCTTGAATTCTTTGAATGACCCTGTAATTTAATTGGCTTTGTCCGATAGTGCACCCTCAAGGTAGTTGGATTGTACGACTAATCTGTCGCTTATCAACAATATTTATATATATATTTACACTTTACGCATTGATTGAATGGGTACAAGTATTATAAATTCTGAAACAAACTTAAGAACATATGGTTGGTGAATGGAATATTTGTAATTTGCGTAAATTAATCTGAATGCGTTAACACATTGACACTTAAACGAAAGGAAACAATTCAGTGTGAAATAGATTAGCAGAAGTACTTTTCTCTCTATAATATTCGTGCGTTCTTCAGTAAACAGATAACAGATTAAATCATAAGCAAAGTGATATATTTATTTAACTCTACATTCTCCCAAATAATTTGCGAGGACATGTCTAACACTGAAGGGGAGACTATGGTTATTGACCAGGAGTTAACTAAAGCAAAAGTAACTTATAAATGATAATGCATGGTTTTCATAACTCCTACATTCTTTTTAAGTGAGCAAACTACAATTTCAGTTTGAGTTACAGCTTTATCTACATTTTGCATCCTTTCATTTATCGAAAAAAGTGGTGGCAAACTTATTAATATTGCGCCTAGGCTTAATAAATGTTCTCGAAGAACTACTGAGGTGATGAAAATTTTCTTTGTTTTCATTCATCCATTGATCTGATCCATCAAACCGTGCCCAATACATTAACACCTGTGGATTTAACTTAAATAATCAGCCAACTTCTTAATATCTTTTTCCTGCTCATCTTTATCCTTTACTTCCTTCAAAAGCAGTACTAAATCTCTTATTTCTGACAACATCCTCCTTTGCTCGGCAAGTTGATCCTGAAAATCACGTCGCAGATCTCCAATTTCCTTTGTTACTCTACTAAAACGGTCTCTGTCAGGATGGCACATCTAAAACGTGCAAAAAATCAAAAGTCTCAGATTTGAAAATGGAAAGTACGAAATTTAGGACAGCGATGATCATGGTTGTGAACTATAAACTCTAATTTCCACAATTATGGAATACTGTGATATGCTGGAAATAAAATTAGATGAGATCGACGCGCTCTTTGCCTGTTCTTGCTTTAAGAGTAATCAAGGCACAGCCTTTTAGTAAAAAGGTTGGATAGTATGTGAATGTTCGCAAACACTTAAATTACACGAACTTGAACAAAATTTTAAGTGGTCTTTTCAACACTGGTTACGACAAAGTTCTTCCTCGCCACATGCCACATTAAACTTGGTCTCATGAACAATCCCTTGACTGTAATTGGAGGAGTGTGCCGAGACGTGATATGTTAGCAGATCACTGATGAAACCAAACCATTTACAGATTCAATTTCTAGCCCATTACCCTCCCCTCCCCCCTCCCTCTTTCGAAATACCTTGGTGAGCACTGTAATGCCTTTAGATCCCAATGAAACGAAGGGATATAGTTCATTTCCCTCGGTATACTCCACTGAAGAACACGCTACTTTTCTACCATTCAAGAAGAACAACACAGACACATTTCCCTCGGAGACTTCACTAAAATCAACTTCACAGGCGATGAGATCGCCGCGGTAAGCCATGGCTCCTAAGTTATCAACAGAAAGAAATTAAGTACATAGCAAAAAGATAACAAAATAAACCAAACATGGGGAAAGGACGGCAAGGCATTGACTACGTTTCCAAGCGCCAACAGGTCCTTGTGGCAGATATCGTACACCTATCGTCAAAGTAACCCATACCTTTCACTTCTCTTCCCAGCTTATGGAAGCCAGTTTCAAATATTTCACCATCGTCTGTGTGGTAACCGACGCTTCCACTACAACAGCCAGGCATTTTATGACAGTCGTACGACTCAGGCACAGCACCCAGAGCCGCAATACACCTCTCCCCAGTCTCTTGAATAAGTACCTGCAAAACAATGACGGACTTTTGTTTTTTAGACTGTAGTTACGGTTGCCGCAAGTCTCATGCTTTTAATTTTTGTTTCAGGCTGCAAATGGGTTTTTCGCAAATGAGCGCGAGGGAATACTAGTTTCTTAGATCAAAACAAAATAACAACGATGATAAAGACGATGTTAGCAATAATATAAACAATCAACATCCGAAATAACGATTATATAAACAACAAAAGCAGCTATAATAACAACTGCAGTAATGATAATGATTACAAAGTAATAGCACAAATATAAATAACAACAACAATAATTAATAAAAACCGTTACGTTATCCAAAGGTGCTCATCAAAGGCAGTATAATTTGACCCTGACATGCACCTCAACGAAAGAGAACAAGGAGATAAATTTAACCTTTACACCCTAACATCATTATGAATATTCTCCATGCTGTTCTCTATTTCTTTCTTTATTTATTTTTTTGCCAATTTGTAATTATGATGCATCAGTAAAAATAAAAAAAGGAATTTCATGTACATTTATATGATATAGCCGAAGATTTAGCGTGGCGAAGAAACCCGTATGGAAACCAAGAGGTTTATGCGAGCTGCAGGCTCCTCATATTTCACAAAAGTTAGGTATCAGTATTATGGCGTGATTTAGGTACAAAAATATTTTAGGTTAAAAAGGAAAGGACACACACACACACACACACACACACACACACACACTCATAAAACAACATAAACAATAGCAGGCATTCACACAAACATATACTTAAGCAGCGTGAGAAAATTAAGAAAAAGAATAAATGAAAAAGTAAAGAAGAATAAGAAAGGAATCAACTTAGGAGTAATGTTCGCAATTTAGACTTACACAGGGAAAGTGTGCCAACATTTTGGATTTCTATATTCAAAGAATTAAAAAATTTATTCTTTGGAAACATAACGCAAACTGTTTGATATTTGTTCTGCAAAGGGGGTATGCAAAAGGAATTCACTGTCGGGTGTAATAGCAATGATTGCTACTCGAAAACAAAATAACATTTTAAGAGCACCAGGTAGACGGCTCATCTTGAACAAAACCATGATCTTTCCTATTTGAAATCGTTATACGTTGTATAGATTAAGAATTTTCAACTGCTTAAATATAGGTTCAGTATGAGCGTTAAAAGTACTTCTTGATATAATTCGTACCACCTTTTTCTGGAGTAGAGCAATACGTTTCAAGGTGGATGGATAAGTGGAGCCCCATACTATAATGCAATAAAGTAAGTAGGGATAAACAAGACTATAGTACAGGGTACATAAAGTTGAAGTAGGTAGGCAGAGACTAACGATATAGATTATACCGATGGATTTTGAAACTTCCTAACGATATAAGCAATGTGCGGTTTCCATGACAAATTTTCGTCGAGTAACACCTAGTATAGTACAGTGTTTAATCTCTAGTTTAATATTAAGATTTTCCCTTTTCTGTCTTGAATTGAAAACCATGAAATTTGATTCAATAACATTTATTGAAAGCTTATTGGCTCGGCAACACTCCGTTAGGTTAAGCAATTCTTCATTCAAGGTTTTCTCGATAAAATTCAAATTTTTATGGGAGAAAAAGATGTTTGTATCATTAGCAGAAAGAATGAAGTCTAAAACCGTTGATGTAAATTAGAAAGAGCAGAGGACCAAGAATGGAGCCCTGAGGGACACCACATTTGATATTTGAATAGGATGAATTAAATCCACCAAACTGAACCAAATGTTGTCTATTGTTTAGATAGTCTTCAAGCCAGTTAAATGCAAGACCGCGAATACCATAGCAAAGAAGCTTATCAAATAAATTTGATAGTTAACCGTGTCAAAGGCTTTAGAAAAATCAATAAATAAACCCTCTGTTTTCTCATTATTATCAATAGCAGAAGAAATTTTGTGATACAAAAGAGCTACTGAGGTATATTCAGTCGAATGCTGTTTACGAAAACCGAATTGATTATCGGTTAGTATCTTACATTTACCCATATAATCAATATTTCGATTGTAGACAAGTTTTTCCAAAACTTTATAGAAAGAGGTAGAACAGAGATAGGTCTGTAATTTGAGAATAATGACTTATCCCCAATTTTAAACAATGGTACGACACGAGGAATCTTTAGCTTTGCTGGAACAACTCCAGAACTTAGCGATAAATCAAAGATATGAGTCAAAGGACTACTAATTGAAGTTATTGCGTTCGACCCTGTACGCTCTCTCGATGTCGATGTCAATGCCAATCTTGTTTTTAATGGCAATCTTGTTGTTAATGGCTTTCGTTTTCCATATCCTCTTATGAAAGTGACTGTGTCGATAAGGTAGATTTTAACTAATCAATTTTTTTATTGGAGGTATCAAGTTTTTCTTCAAAAGGCTTCAGGTTATCGACGTCCTTTTGAGTGAATTGTAGGCTAGTAGTGATGGACTGAACTGATTTTTCAACCTCAGTAATTCTTGTGGTGAACGACTGCAAAATCGAGTCGAAAAGGGTCTTCATCATCGACTCTTGAGTCCTTAACTGATTCCCGAACAGTTCTCAGGGTGACATACTCATCTGCGCCGTGGTCGTCTTCAGTAATGGCGGCCCGATCTTGTTCGCTTTGTACTGGTTGTACTGGGCTTTCTGGCTTTGAACTCCTTCCCTTTCTTCCCATTGGCAAATTAGATTATAATAAAAGGTAGAGTAACGAAAAAACACTTCAAATGTTCATAAAGGAACAGTAAGGAGTGAGTAATAACTAAATAACATCATTCGGCAACGGAGCTACTGATATCATGTCCGCACGCCATGGCTTCGGCTGAGTTTCCTACATTTGTGCTAACAAGGAAGAATTATAGTTAAACAATGAAGAGCTTTTTCGGTTGGTGATCATTTACTTTATTCTTGTGACCCTAATGTTCAACACAGGGATGATAATGTGAGGAGAAATTACATGTCAGTCGCTCTTAGGAGTTACAGGGTTAAGTGCCTAAACGAGATCGATGTTGACACGTTACCATGAAAGCGAAGGTGAAAATAATATACCACAAGAGGAACATAAAGAATTTTTTTAGGAACCAGTCTGGTCTTTCTATTATGGAGGCACTGTTAAGTTCATTCTTAAAAAAATGAGTATCTGTAGTGCTACAAAATAGAAAAGAATACCAGCGCCTACAAGAGGGAGGTTATTTAAGGGAAGAGGGTAAAAAGGCAATGTAATTATGTTGCATCTTCATATAATCTATCATGAAGCAGGAAGTATATGAATGAAACTTTTTGTTCGCAAATAATTCTCTATAAATCAAAAGCACACCTCAAATCGTGGTGTCTCTGGTGTAAAGGGAGACTTGAACTTGGCACTGTGAATGTTCTTAGGCTTTCCACTTTTGCATATGTTGCAGGACTTAGGTCCCACGTAAGTTAGGAGACAGCCATTGACAGCAATTCCCGGCGAATCATACCACACCTTTAAATGACAATCGAACAAAACTTCAGTATCGGGAAATACCTCCTTCAGACGGCTGGTATGTCACCTGAAAATGTCTGCGGCTGAGACATTGTCCAAAAATTAATATTTGGCTAGGAAGCGAAGCTTCAAGGAGAAATTTTAAAAATTGGAAGACAATCTCTCAACCAGAGACATTTATCAGCCGACATACTAGCAAGCCAGAAGGGGTTTTATTCAAGTTATAACCCTCCCATTCATTTTCGTTGATAACAAATTTTGTTGACTTTTTTATACTTTCTGGAGAAGCATTTGAGATCAGATTTTTTAAGTCGCTACAAAACAGTTCTTTCTTCTTCAAGGGTCAAAGGAAACTACAGAACAACATTTCTTGAGTGATTTTCTCGATCGCACATTTAAATTTTTGTTCGAGAGAAAAGGTTAAAATGCAGTGGGCCTGAAAAATACTTACTCTTTGGCCGAACGCAAATTTCTCCTCCTTGTTTCCACGCGATCGGAATACTTGATGAACTATCTGGTTGGCCAATTTTCGACTTCCCTCATTTTCAAGCACCAAGTGATCTATCTTTTTCCCCTCTGAAACAAAGCGAGGAACCAAATATTAAATCGGCCTCTTCTGAATCTTGTCAGCAAAATCATTACGATACGCCTCGTTAAAATAGATTAGCGTTACTTGAATTCTTAATTTGTGATTTTTTATTTCTTGTCTGTCATGGTTTAACCTTCTTTAGAAGTATTAAATTAGCCCTTTTTGAATCGTGTTAGAAAAATATTTACAATACGCCTCGTTATGAATAGACCATCATTATTGGAATTATCTGTGATTTTTTATTTGAAATTTTATTCTTACCTCTAATGGTTTAAAGTTCTTTAGAAATGTTCATTTGATAATAAAAAGTCAAAGTTTAGTAGAAGAACATCTATTTGCGCAATATTCTTTTGTATGACCATATCATAGATTTCTGGGGCTATCTACCAATCTAGCATATCACCCACCTGTGAGGGGAAATTCATAACCGTATTTCTCGAAGTACACACTTTCTAGTTCCTTCACCACTTTATCCAGAGCCACTCTCTGTCGAATCAAAGAAGGCCACATCGAAAGTGAAGTAAAATCACTGAGCAGACGTGAATGATACCTTTAAACAACAGCAGCTTGTTAAAACTCACAAAATTAATCGGCTAGGCGTTACCAGCTTACCCATCCGCCCTCGAGCGAAGCAGGAGTGTCGCACCATGTTCTACACGAACACATCCGACGGAGGTTCCCGAGTACTATCAGGGGGAAAGACAAAAGGTTGAAGGGCACTGGTATTGGATGATAAGTGCTGTAAGTTCTTACAGTAATGGCTCTCTTGAAAGACCACTCCTGCAGGGAATTTTCCTAATAACGGAGGAATAGAGAGGGACGTAACAGCCTACAACGAAATACCAGTTAATAAAAGCAACAGGCGACATCGGAAGAATATTTTTGACATATCATACCCAATTGCAAGGGACAATATTCACCATAATTTTCGTCTAAGGCGTCGGTCGGCCAAAAATACATTTATAAATGATCATAGAATCTTGTGAACTTTGCGAAAAATGTATTTTATATCTTACCCCAAAAAAGTCCTACTAAGTTTACTGAAGAGAACTTCTCATATTTTCCTAACTCTGGATTATGAAGAGAATTATGCAGAGAGACTGTTTAGTACCTGAACCTGCTGATAGGTATTGGAGAGTAACGCAATCATCATGTTCAGGAGAAGAATAACTGCCATGATTAAGAACAAGCTGTACAGTACATGAATAAGAGAAACGGATGGATTGTCGACGGAGTTCAACCTGTCCAGGTCAGCGAAACCCAGTAAAGACCAACCATGGTGTGTCGCCATGTTCCACCAACTGAAGAACATAAGCAACGAGTTAGATCGAAAACCATTCAATTTTTTAAACTGATATCACTATGACCGCCATAAATGTTTTTCAACGTCTGTATCCTGGAAGCCATCGTTTGATTGCTCCAACATGGATCATCGATTCAGAAAAGTTTGCTTTCAAGATTCCTGGTCAGCTTCATTAAGTCAAACATCAACACATTTATGTGTTGCTATCCAAAATATTACAAGATATCCTCAAAACCTGAGGGATACCACTAGAAAAAAGAAATAGCAACGATGACGTATGGATTTTTTTCTCAGTGGAGAAACTTTGAGGTAAACTAATGGCTGAGCTAGCTTTTTTGTGGAGAAATAGGTGACGAAGTCGCCTTAATTGATAAGACGCAAAGCCGCGAGAGGAATGAAAAGCAAAGACGGTTTCTTCAGTCACAGCTCTGCTTCTTGTTCCCGTAACTTTGCTGCCATGAAAGATAACAGCGTCCTCCCTACAAATTTTCATGATGAAGCTAGTAATGTTCGTGGCTTTACATCAGCATTTATCTTAATACACATGATTTATCTATCTATCCGATCCCTCGGGTAGATAAATAACCAGCCATTAATCACTGTTTAACGCAAGTGAAACCTAACTGGCGTACTGGGTCGCTAGCTTTTTTGCCTAAAAATTTCACGCTTGAAATGACGAGTTTTCAAATAATTGCGGCATATTGAAAGCGGGAAAATCAAGTTTGGTAAAGATTTCGTGTAATATGGTATATTTCAGACATAAGAGTACAAAGTTAAAAATTAGTGTAAAAAACAATAACAACAATTTCACTCACCAAATTATCCCGGAATCACTGCATGCCCTTAAAATGATAGGAGAAAATGAATGTTAAAGAAACCGTTGCCATGGTTTACCGTTTAACCAACGGAAATTATCCCACATTAGCTAACTGTCAAATTTACATTAATACTGTCCCCCACCCTCCCTTCGAATTTCTTTTAAGTCGGTTGGGTGGTTCTGGGGAAATGATTAAAAACGTTCCTGAAGATATGGGTACTTCCAGAAGCACCCTCGCCTCTTAAAAGTCAGTGTGTAGCAAGTCACTGACCCCACAATTTGTGACTATGACTGACCTAGCGATGATCATTGGGTATCAGGCTATCGTAATTCGATGTCAAACCTTTTGTGTAGTAGTGGTGCTACATAGTGCCTTATTCATTGGGTCCTCTTTGTGAGATCTCCTTGAATATTCATAAAGACTGTAAAAATTGGCCTTTCCTGCAACGTTTGACATTCTGATCGAAGTAGTTTTACTCTCCTGTTAGGCTTCCCACCCACAAAACTAAATCTCACTTGCTTAGCTTTTAGCCAACTGTTTCCTACGTATACATTGGTGGTCCAGACATACCATCCCATTCCACAAAAAGGGAACAAATGAATAAAGCCCAACAACTAAGAATCTGTCGTTCCTGGTTTCGATAATTGAGAAAGATCGCAACATGTACTCACAAATCCTCGGCGGAATCTTTTCCTAAGGTATACGCCTTCTCAGCAAGATACATCTTAGTCATAGCCAGAGAAAATGCAATTATCATGGCCAAAAATTGCCAAAATATCGCCATTACATCCCAGATAACAAAGAACAAAGCGATTTGTATTACACCCATTCCCCGCACGCGCTCAATGACTTGACCAAAGGCTCTTGGTGTGAGAAACATGGCGATAAATCCATAGAAATACTCTGACACAGCCAAGAGTCTGTTGTCTGACACGTCCGTGGAGTTTTTCCATGTAATTATGCGTAAGATGAAGGTGATCAGGTAGAAAACAAGAATGATGAAGTCAAGCACATTCCAAGGGCCTCTATAAAAGTAATGGATACCAACTGTGTTAGAAGAGCATTATTTAACGTAATCAGTGAAAAGACCTTGTATAATTCACAAGCAAGATAATCAGTTCTTACATGTACCACTATCTGTTGTACAATGAGCATGAGCCAATTAATGGCGTACCTAAGCAATGAACCCTGACAGTGAACAATGTCGCCTCATGATTGGTTGATGCAGCTCTGAAAAATGATCAGGGCACCAAAGCAGAGAATAATGGTTCATTTTGTTACCTTAGTCAAGTTGTTATCTCTTTTTCACCATCCTTACTTCCTGATCATGCCCTCATATGAAAGAGAATCTAGTATTATCACATTCCAAAACTAGAAACAGACAATAAAAACCTGAAATACCTGAAATAATTTCTAAGCTTCTTTAGCAAGGTATTGTCTTCTCCTGCCTCACTTGTCTCTTGTTGACCCTCATGTGAACGTTCTTGGTAGCTGGAGCCATCTCTATTCCTCCTACACAGCTTTCGTGCTTTCATACAAGGTTTCATACAAGCCTTTTTATTGAACTGATCCACCTCCATCAAAACGCGTCCCAGGAAGAAAACTAAAATAACCCATTCTAGTTGACTGAAGGCAATAGAGGAAGGGGACAGGCAAATGGCGAAGTGAAGACCAAGGAGGGTGAGATAACTCAGCGTGTCGCGGAAAAAGATGAAATAAGGAGTCGTAAAGTAATCCTTGTATTTCTCTGAAAGACATCATAGTAATCATAGTTATACCAGGAAAACAATGATTGAGACGCTAGCTTACAATGGAGGCTATCAAAGGAAAACTCTGAAAGCGCTAACGATCTGGCGAAAATTATCAGAAAAAAAAAAAAAAGTCTAATGGTCTTTGGAAATCTAGCGAACAAAAATAGCCTGTCCTTACCATAGATGTTCTTTCCCTCGATACCTGTAAGAAAGTAAAACATATCAATTATAAAGCCAGTCACACTTCCGAGAAGTGGGGAGAAAAGTTAAAGCTTTTAAAAATATAACAACGTTAAAAACCTTCCTCGATTACAACTGTAACAACTGCATGCAGTACTTTCTTATTTTTTCCCATACCAAATAAGAGAATAATCATTACAAGGAGGGTTTTTTTTAATCGTAATTTTAAACCTTCCCAGGCTACCTTGTATGACAGCTGTCCCCAATGTCTCGGGTGACTCGTATTCTCCAAAGTGACGTGCTGTGCCATCTTCAGTTGCCATCTTATTTAATTCTGATAATTTGGTGTACTCCCCAAAACCGACGGGAAAGATGTTAACTCGCAACTTCTGTATCTCCTCTGGTAAAGGCGGTGTTCTCTTGGTTTTATGCATAACCGTGCGTGACGGGTCATTAAGAAAGAGCACGACAACCTGATGCAAACATAAAATTAAAAAAGGTGATATTTATATCCTTGATTCTCAAAAACAAATTTACAAGTTTTATCAAATATGAGCCCAAACTTATCAATCTTGAAACTACACCAGCCTTCTTATAGAAGAGCTGCTTAAATTTTTTTAATGAAGAAAAAAAAAAAAAAACCACTTTCAACGACAATAATTGAATTCGCAGTGAATACTGCTGAGGTGCTTGTAAGTATCTTAACCACTGGCTCTATTGCATAAGTTATTGATCGTTTTGTTTTTCACGCCGTTTAATGAATCTGTTCACACCACTGATAACTGTAGCTGTTATGTACATGTAATGCCAGATACGATAAAGAACTAAATCATTAATATGCATGCAAAAATTTCAGCATGCTCATTGGCTGAGAAGGTGTCAGTTGATCCCAAACTGTGTAGAGAGTTGAAACTGAATGCAAAAAGTAAAATGGATTGCAGAAAGTTGAAATTAAATTGATTGAGAGTCAAGAGAGTCGCAAAAGCAAAGCAAAACAAAATAGCGGACAAGTTAGTGGAAAGTAAACACGTTTTAGTTCAGAGTTTACAGGAGAATTGACAATCAATGTTGATTCAAAAAGCACAAACACCCGGCTAAAAGTTGATTTATGGGTTTAAAACATAAACACAAAATAGACACAGATGAACAAAATTCGAGGAGTTTTACGCAATAGTTCTCAAGAAAGACGGGAAGATTATGAGCCAATAGCAATCTTGTAAAGGTTATTGCTTTTGCTGATAAAGAAAATAGTGGGACTGTTTTTCTCTTGCTGATATCTGACAGAGAAAGAGAATAAACTTGATTATTGTAACACGAGTTTAAAATCAAACGAGGGGAAAGCCTGAGTCCTCCAGCAAGAAGGCAAATGCAAGGGGCCGGCCCATGAGCCGTGACACTAACTAAAACGTGATTTGTGTTTATGTTTTAAACATAAATCAACTGTAGCGTGCGGTCTTCAAATTCAATCAATACTGAATATGAATCGGTAAGTATAACTTACCAAGGCCTGATAACCAGCCCGTGACTGCAAAATGAGCCCATAGGAACAAGTTAAGGGACAAAACTTGACAGCGCTCCGCCGGGAAAACGGTTGCGCGCATGTATTCCTCACCTTTTTGGCCTCCTTCCCAAGTGTTTGGTTTGTGAATGCACTTCGGGTGGCCATAAGATCTTCACCGAGTGAACTGGTTGAGTTTGGCCGCTGTAACTGGTTAATCCTCGTTCGAAGTGCATCCTTAGTAGTGTACCTCTCTTTAAAGTTGATGTTACCGATAATTTTGTTGTCTTCATGTAAAACAACACAGTATTTGGCAGGGCGGCAGCCATATTCACCAACAATGTAGTTTATCGTCCTTTTAATCAGATTAAATTCTTCTTCTGAGGTATCTTTGCCCAGCGTCAAAACAAAACATATTTCAGTTTCTGAAAAACGATCAAGGAAAGCGGATTAAACCACTGATCAAAAAAAAGGAACATGCAACAACTGATACCATGCACCACAACAACTCTCTTGTATCTAATCTCAAGACTTAGCAATCTCAACCATTCTTAAGACTATTATGATCAGGTGGGAACAAATACCAGGCCTGTAAACGCTCCTTGAACGATGTAGCCTGCAAAACAGGCTTAGTTTTTTTGCAAGCACGAGGCAAGCATGGTGCGCGTTTCACGTGCCAGGGAAGAAAAATGCGTGACCCGCGCTTCGCGCATAGCCTTACTAAGGACTTCTGCATTTTTCAATTGAGAGGACTCAGTTTGCTAGAGTTAGAAATAAACTACAGAAAAGCCATCACCTTCCGCGCCCCACCCCTCACCCCCTCCAGGCCCAAACCTTTGGAATACCTGAGAGCTTACTAAAAACGCGTTACCATCTACTGTACCATGTCAAATACTTTAACGAATGCTAACAAAACGATATTACAAACCTCTTTTCCTCCTCAAGACCCGTTTTACCAAATGCACGACGAAGAAAATGGCAAAGAGAAAGGGAAAAAAGAAGATGTCAAACACCGTCCAGAGGTTGAGAAAAAAGTATCCCCAGCGTTTAGGTGTCCGCCATGATTCTTTTCTTACGTGAAAAAAGGAGCGGTACCATCTGGAGTTAAGCAAGTTATACACCACTGGGTGAAAGATGAACTGCGAAAAAATTCGTGGATAAATTGTTTTACACAATAAGTTGAATTTGAATTGGTTCATGCTTATTACTTATCAGAGGAGAATCTCAGAGGGGACGTCAGCATGAACAAAGTTTGGCTTCATTAAATTCAAAACAATTCTAGCGACATATCAGTGACACACCCGACCACGCATCATGTGCCACCATTTTGTTCTTACCACATTTTTACGTCATCTGTGATCTACAACAATTGTACAATATTCCAAGTACAAAACCGCATCATTTCCGGCACATAGCACTTTTATTACAGACCCAGAACAACAAGTTGGTTCTACATACAGTACAAAGATAGATAAAATACAAAAAAGCGACATTAAAACGCCTTTGCGGCGTATAATGCGAAAAAAAGCCTCACAAAGAAACACACCTCTGAGCTTTGAAAAAGCGCGGATCGAAAATACCAACACATGATTGGTTACTCTCTTTCCAGAGAGAACCAATGAAAACGGAACACCGTTGATCCTAACCGCAGGTAACCCAAGTATAAAAGGATGGTTTTCCACCCTTTTTGGCGGGATTGGAATTGAGAATTTCTCTGCCTGCCCCTGATTAACACAGCCTGACTTAACAAAGCAGCTGAAGAGATTCTTTAAGAATCGAAACCGCCGGTCCTGCTAGACGATATACTTCACTTTCAGTTTTACCTGAAAAAGATGTCAGCTTTTGAAACACCATTGCGGCCACCAAAAACGCCAGACTACCGTCCAAATCTGGACGAGGAGATGGAATTAACGTACACTGATCCGAACCTAGAATCGGACCCAGAGGATAGCCCTCCAGCATCACAACTCGAGCCAAGGCATAAAGCTGAATTAGCCAAACAACGCAGCAACGAAGGTCTACGCCTTCAAAAAGAAAGCCGTCAAAAAGAAAACCTTCCGAGGAATAGCCGATCCACGCGGCAGCCAAGGAAGAGGAAACATGAAGACACCATCAGCGCTATCCAGTTCAAGAAGCAAAAAACTGAAACCCCCATTTTAAAACTGGAGAGACACTTACAACAAAAGACTTGCCCTAAGTCGCTTCAATACAAGGCGAAGGCAAACTTCACGCCTGACGAAACCTTTCGACAGGAAATAAGCGCTATTAAAAGTCACGCCGAAGAACAATACGTTAGCGCCCTAGTGCGCTTCCATCAGCGTAGACTTGTTAGTCACAAGAACAAACTTGAAAAGGCTAATATTGCCAAGTCTCGATCACAATACAATGTAAATACACGTGAAAGATCACGTTCGCCCTTGAGGAACACTGTAAATACTGATGCCGACAGGATAGACAAAATAGAAAATCAGCTTTCAGAGCTGAAAGATCTTATATGTACACGCTTTCAGAGTGATAATAAACATGTTGAAAAGTACAACAGTGTCATCTCTGAAAAATCAGACGCCAAACCCACTGCAGCAAAAAGGCTATCCAAGAATAATAAACGCAAAAAGCGTAGAAAAAATACACTACACAAATTTAAAACAAATACTGATGCAAGAATGGAACCTCATCCAAAATCAGCCACTGCTGAAAACAATTTACAAAACGCCTCCGATTATATCATACAAAAGAGGTAAATCGTCATACTCGTCAGAGCGAAGCTTTAATTAAAGGCTTTTGCGTCGCAAACGTAAAACCACACAGGGGAGTCTGTGCAGGCCTGTCTATGACCTTTTCAATATAGAATCGATCCTCGTGCTCGTTTTTTTGACTGAAAGTCTAGGTATATAATAATGTTAAGTGTCTTTCTTCTTTCCTTACTTACACTGCACGTAAAGGTAAGGGAACCTATGTGATCAGATGGGCGACAGCATTCCCTCTAAAATCGACTTTAGGGGTGAAGGATATCAGAAACTATTCATTAGAAACCTTTTTTATCACTTATGTAGTACCTTCTTCTGCTTCGTGTCAATTGCATTGTCCACCACATCATCAAAACAACTTTGAAATGTATTTCTGGTATCGGCGTCGGCTTTAAGAGGATCCATCAAGGCTTCTGCGAACTCGCCTATAGATTTTTCTAGCTGTTCTATATCGTCTTTCTCCGGGTTTGCACCATGTGCTAAATCTCGCAGTGCTTTGTTGACCTAAGTTTAAAAAGAAATGAAGTTATCTTCTTTATCAAATGGCTTGTAAAAATCAATGATATTGTATCTGATCTCTTGTTAGCCTCCAGTTGTTGCACATGATAGGAGAGTTTTTTTAATTTTCTGTCGTTAATTAGCACACAGAGACCTCGATGACCAGTAAGAACAAAAACAAGATATAACTACGAGCCAGTGATACTTCAAGGGTGATAAAGATACAAGTACACACTACATAAATTAATCAGTTGAGAGAGTGGTATGCGAATGACGAGCCAATCATATGGAGTGGTGAAACAAAACCACAGTGAATAAGGATTACATTTTTCACCTAGTCTGGCGAAACAGCCTTAAGTAAAGTATACCGGTAAAATTGGTAAATATAAAATTACAAGACCAACCTGGAAAGATTTGAGTAAGGAATTAGTTTTACACCTTGCCAGGGTTTTTGGAGTCACTGTTTGATCAATCGCATCGAAATCACCCTTACGTAGAACATCATCCAAATCCTTTTCTATCTCTGTAAAACAATCAGACACATGCAAGAATGATTAAAAAATATGGAAATTTTTCAATTTAAACAACCACCGAAAAAAGAAGTAAGTTTGGATTCCACCACCCTCTCATTGTAGCCCTCGTTCCTCATGTGATGAACAGTCTTCGGGGAAGGAATAAACTTTGAATAAACGAAATGAATGCACGTTGACTCAGTAACACAATTACACCAATGTTTTAGGAGTCTGTTTATTTGCGTCTTGAGTTTGTGTCTCCCTTGACGCCCTCTTTCACTTACCTTCATGTTGAGATTGTTGATTAGAAGCATCAGTACCCCCATGCTCGTCCTCTGGTTCTATAAATAGGTGATAGAAAGGAAATTTATATCAAATTTTGCCACGTTTGATTAATCGCATCGAAATCACCCTTACGCAGAACATCATCCAGATCCCCCTCTGTTTCTGTAAAATGATCAGACACATGCAAGAATGATTCACAAGTATGGACATTTTCAATTAAACAACCCCCGAAAAAGAAGTAAGTTTGAATTCCACCACCCTCTCAATGTGGCCCTCGTTTCTCATGTGTTGAACAGTCTTCGGATAAGAAAAAAACTTTGAATAAACGAAATGAATGTACGTTGACCGCATGTTGAAATGAATGCATTTACGTCTTGTGTTTGTCTTTCTTGATGCCCTCTTTCACTTACTTTCACGTTGCAGTTGTTGAATAGAAGGATCAATACCCCCATGCTCGTCCTCTGGTTCTAGACGGATAGATGATAGAAAGGAAATTTATATCAAATTTTGCTATGTGTTTTTTCAGACAAAAGTAAATCACAAGTGACGTCAAAATGTGGCAGATCGAAAAAAAGGCAACACATAAAGTAAAGGCGCATGACTATGTCGGTGATATTTATTTTTTTCTTTTTTTAACCAGATTTTGACACGCTTGTTTATCTAGAAGTAGGAATACGCTTAGTTGTACACGCATTTTGATTAGTTTTTCTTATCATCCGGAGAGGGACACAGACGATGTCAACATCGCTACCAATAAGCTTAGTCCGAAAAATAATCGCAACAGTTGTCAAACTGTGCACTATATTTGCTGATGCGGAGGTAAAACAGCCTATTTGAGATAAACCACGCATCTGCACTCTTATAGATCATTGGCAACAGCCATTAACAGCCGCCGGGTAAACTGAGTTCATCACATAATTCTATGCAGTTGTTGCTTGCAGAAGGAAACTATTCCTCTACGGAAATGAAAACGAGAATGAAATCATTGGTCACCGTACTCCTGGACGACAAGATGGCAAATTATCTTCCCGATGAGCTTTAACTCGAACAAAGAATCTAATTCAATCAGTTAATTAGAAACGCAAGGCATAGGAAACGAGTACCGTGAAGACTCGATATGATGTAATTCAATTTTTTTCCAATCACAAAAAAAAAACGGTGTTCAAGGCTTTTCCTAGTCCTCAGTCCAACACATTGACAATAGGAAGCCAAAATGCGTGCATTGAGCACAAAAACCAAGCCTAGTACAGATCCACAATGCAATATGCTGAATATGGTGTTAACCTAAGCTCTACAAGGGTGTCGATTGCATACTGAGTGAACTTCTCGAGCCTTTTTCTTTTTTTCGGTGATTATCCTCATTACTAGCCCAACCCAATCGTTTAGGTAATGTCTGTCACATTCAAGACAAACCAAACTGACTGTATCCACAAAATTCTTTAACAGGTAGATCGATGATGAATCAAGGCACGTTATCATGAATCCCTGTAATAATCTCTGTGATCAAACATACCAAAACTAGCAGGAATTTTCCCCTCGACCTGATCCAGATCAAAGCATGTTACTACGGAAGCCTCGATATCAAGTTCTGGTGATGGCCCCTTTGCAACCGCGGCAGGCACAAGCTCCTCGTCAACTGCTACCTCTAGTTTCTCAGAAGTTACTGACAGCTCCATTACCTCTGGTGCATCAGATCTAAAGCACAATTTACCCCATGGAATCAGTACTCAGGTATTCCAGTTACCAATAGCGTAAAGCCTGGTTTTCATTAGCGACACAAGCACAAGCGTGAGCACAAACGCACGCAAAAATTAAATTTACCAAGTGAAAACGAACGTCGACAAGCACAAGCACTAGTACAAGAAAAGGCATGCGCTCGTCTTTATGCTTGCATCGAGGCCGTTTTCATGGCGAAATAAGAGCTGTTACGCCTACATTTGTGCTTGCGCTTATGCTTGCGTCGCTAGTGAAAAAAAATAATGAAACTTCCAAAAACATCTGGATGCACATGACTAGGAGCCTGAGAAAAATACTACTGTGTTTAAAAATGTAAAAAAATGTCAGTATGATTCGGTGAAGATTTTATGTTTTCGAAACTGAAGAAATCCTGGTATTTCATCCGCAATATCTGTACACAAGAGACTAAGTATTGTTTATAATATCTTGCTATATGATAAACCGAGAAAAATTTGAAAAAAGGTTTCAATTTCTAAGTAGACTGCGAGCAAGCCCTCCTTTTCGGCGCAGTCCGTTGCGCGAGTCCGAAAAAGTCAGCCTAAACAAGAATGTTAGCGCGCCACGCGAAGTCTAGGAACTAAATATTAAAAATGTTTTCAGCAAAGTTATCTAAGTTTCGGTAAAAGATATGACCACCAGACTGTTTCGCACCAGCAAATATAACTAATGCTGTAGTGTAGTGTACAGTCGAACCTGTATTTAGCGGTCACTCACGGGGAATGGCGGGATGACCGCTTGATACAGCTTTCACGGATTAGGAGTATTACAAACAACGCCACTTCATGCCATAATTGACAACTCAGTGTACTGAATTTGCAACTTTGATCTCGCTACTTTGATATTGGGATTAAAAGTTACTTGAAAGATATATTGTGCGGTAGTTTTATACAAGAGTCTGTTCCCAGCTACTGATATTGATCCAACAAATTCGGGACAATTAACCGCTTAATACAGGGTGACCGCTTAATACAGCCTCGACTGTAAATCACAAAATGACCTTAAAATGTTTTAGTACATTCCAGAATGCTTTGTTGTTTACTTTGTTATGATTGAGTGGTCACTTAGTCAAACATTATCACTACAGACCTCTCACAGACTAGCGCTGCTCAAGATCTTTCTCGCGGGCGAAGAAACTCACATGCCGAAGCGTTCACGATGAGGGCATGTCTGTTGGCCATGCTTGCTGAGTTATGCATTAGATGTTGTAGACGGTCGCGCATCTCTACTGATTTAAGTAGCTTTAAGTGGAGCTGTTGTATTCAATAAAGCAGCGGGTTGAAAGTGACTTCTACAGTTTCTGTCACAACTAAAATGCAATGGTCGTCTTAAAAAAAATAATTAATTAATTAATTAAAAACAACCATCATTGATGTTGTGAGAGGTATGAAAACGTCATCGCTTTGTTAAAATGACATCGTCACAGAATTTAATTTGTGAGCCACTCAAGAGGACGTGATAAAAACAAAGACTCAAAAACGCAAGCAGAGCCGTAGTCCCACGGGAAATCAATTGCGTCACTATTGTTTCTTGTTTCTTATCAAAGAAAAGTGTGCATAATGAGTAAGGGCAAAGCGGAAAGCTTGCTCAAGGATGTTTAAAACCACCTTCGCCAAATCAGGGCCGAGAGAAACAACAGCTATTAGAACAAAGACCAGGATTTCTTTATGAGGATTAATTTTGAAAGAATATAAGACCTCAACAAAGTTTTCTTTCTTATTCGGTTATTCATTTACAAGTCAATCTCAGTGAAAGTTATTACGGGAAAATTTACTGATTTTTTCCGTGTGTTTGTTGCATTTGCATAAAGTCTTCCGCAATTCAACGCCTCAAGTCTAAATGTAAGATAACAGAACAGAGCTAAGTCGAATCAATTCTGGACGGGAGACCCATTTAATCTGTGATGTCCCACACAACTAACAATCTCTCCTAAGTTCAAGACATCACGTTAGCCGCAAATGAGAACTCGTTGTGACGTTATAATTCAATCAAAATGTTGACAGTCATAACTTACTTCTTACAATTCCCAGGGTCGGCCATTATCTTCCTGCGCAAGCCGGCTGAAAGTCCCTATGGATTATGTGCTGGAATGGAGTTCTACAAAAACGAAGAATCGATTGGCTTCTAGTTTTCCTTCCGCAACTGTTTACAATGAGTGACTACAAAATTAACGCACACACGTAGCAGGTCAAGGCTTAAGTGCACAAAAATCTCGACGGTGATTGGTCGATTTGCAGCAAGCCTCATTTCGGAAGTGAATTATTCACATGCTAGAGATAAGTATCCTTTCACCGCTGCTTCAGGGATTTTTTTCACATTGTTCACCGGAAAATCTTAAACATGCCTCTAAACGTACATAATAGCACACATATATTTGAAAAACAGGTCATATCTTCAGCGAATGCAGGTAAATTCTTATTCCTTCTATGTTGTTATCTTGTCTAATTTCACACGCGAGAATTTTCAGGCCCAAGATAAAAAACAAAGGTGCGAGAGGATCACTTTGACGAACCCTACGCTCTGTACAAAAGATAATTTGTATTGAAACCGTTATTCATATATATATATATATATATATACATCTGTTAAATTTTTTCCAAATTTTAAATAGAAAATCATGGGCAAAAGATTCATATGCTTTTTTTTTCTTTCAACCAAGATTATAGTGTTATTTTTTCATTTCCAAACTTTCCTCGGTGGTCCACACTGCATCAAATACAGATCTTCATCTCACAAATCCATTTTGGTTGTGATGAATAATTTCGGAGAGAAACGGTTCGAGCCTCTTAGCAAGGCTTCTAAAACATTTGTTGGTGAGATAGTTCAAATATTTCTGATTGGCTGTACGTTTATTCAAAAGTGTCAAACCATCTTCAAAGTTCAAAAACCATCAAAGTTCACAATCTGCGATAGTTTACAAACTAAAATAATTCGGCAGGTCGAATTAAACGCTTTTGCCTGAGGTTTTTAATTCAGAATCTTGAAGTGAAATGTTCAGTGAACTTCAGCCGAATTGGGCCATAAAAACACTGGGGTTTTTTTCACATGACAACGAAACAAACTGTTCAAGGCGAGTGTTTTTTAAATGAACGACAGCTGAATTCACCGGAACATGAAGTCGCTCGCGGGATGACAGCGCCGCAAAACTATGCAGTGACTGAAGTGAATCAACACATCGGAAAGGATATTAGAGTGAGCTCTTATTTTCACTCGAAGTTTAGAATGTAGTTTCTGAGGCTTGCTTTACTGTGATGACCGGAGATCGCCATGATGTGAGCCGACGATGGACTTCAGCATGATCATATTTTCAGAACCGTCATGATTAGTATGAATTTTAACAGTTATGCCAGTTTGGAAAAATATTTTTCATCATTTCTGTTTTGTTCTGTTTTGTTTTTGAAGTCTGAACTTTATATACTATACGAGTGTTGGCTGTGTTTGATTTTCATTACCGTACGTAAGCTTGCAATCTAACTGAACGTGAAAATCTTTAAAACTCGGAATGTCTATTTTGTTTTTCCTTTGAGGATTTAATAACGTAAATAACAGCGCCTGGCATGTTTACAAACCTTTCTTTGGTTCTTCTGTTACTACTTGCCGGCTCGCTTGTTCCGAAATTTCACTTTCAATTATCGGAAAAAAGCTAAAAAGAAGTCCCGGAAAAGGGACCATCATTTCCTGGTGTTTTGTTTTGCATGAACGATTCAACTCGATTAAGTTTTTTAGATAAACACTGTTTATCATTGTCCGCTCCATTAAGAAAGTTATTCATAGAATCACCAAAAGTAAGTGAATTTTCCTTGTAAAGTTTAGAATAGAAGTTTTCGAATTCCGTCAGTATTTCCGTTGGTATTGTGCTCTGACTATTTTCATCAACGAATATATAGTCTTAATGCAGCTCTTTTCCTTTTTGTTATTTTCTAGGTTGAAAAAATATTTATTCCCCAGGAAGCCGTAGTCTTAGAAAATAGCCAAGTTAATCACATTTTTTTCGCTAGTGCGCACAAGTAGTCAGTACAGCTGTCATAACACAGTTATCAAAATGGATATTTCTTCGTCGGACCAGCAAGATTTTCATGATATGAATATTTGATTTGAATTGGGCTGAAATTTGTGAAAGAAGGCGCGGTGAGAACAGGGCAAAATTAAATAAGAGCAAATAAGATATTTTTGGAATATTGGTCTTATTTTTTCTCAGTGACGCTGCACGTGGGTAAATTGTTGAATTTTGGGAGGTTTCTTCGCATAGAAGAGGAATCGGCATCTTTCTGTTTTCAACATTTCCTTAGCATACGCGGAAGATTGTGATCCATTGAAGGTAGTGAAATCTCCAGTGTTGTAAGATAACGTGGGGTCTTTCCTCCGAGTCTTACACAACATGCCTGATCACGAAGAATATTTTTTTCCAAGAACAAAGGATTTTTAAAAAGCATTTGGGAGCGAACTCGTCGGGGAGGGGGTAAACTTGCAATGTGGGGGACTATGAACCCGTTATCATCTTCCAGGGTAAACGGAAGGGCTCCCAGATGATCTTGCTAATAATCTGCTCATAGGTCTTCTACGCTTCTGCCCTCCAATAGATCATAGCTGAGAACCAATCTAAGCTATTTTATATATGCTGCTACAAAACGAAGAGAGTAATTGTCGCAATTTGCTCCTAATTCTTTTCACCATTTGCCAAGAAAAAATATGAACAACAACGGCCAGTCCAAACTATTTTTACTTTCTGGCTACCTTCCATATTAAAATATTCATAAAAGCTAACTAAATGTTGCTGAGTCAGACTTAGCGAAAGAGTATCTCTTCAAATTAGATATTTATAATTGCTTACAAAACTATTTATGTTTTTGGAAATTTGAAACTCACTAGTCATTATTGTTGCTTGATATAACGTACACATGACATTATTGAAAGTCTTTTCAATAAAATTGCATGGGTTTGCATTTCCCTGTTGTTTAACAACTCATTCCTAATTTACCAGCATCTTTAGTTTCACCTGCGAAAATGAGTTGTCAATCATACTCTTCAAACAACCCTTTCTTCAAAAATATCCTAGTCAGTCAAGACTTTTATTTTCAAGGGAGTTTGTACGCCATCAAAGAGTTACTATGCAATACAATTTTTTAGGCAACTTACGTCAGACTTTAGCTTCAGGCTAAACCTAGACAAAAAGACAAAGATTGACGAGTTTAACACGTTCTACAAGGTTTACTATTGCAAATTATGAAGACCAATGCTTCTCCACGAAAAAAAACCTATTTAAGCCCATTTATTCCAAGAAATATCAGGTAAGAGAGAAAACCAATGTGGAACCTTTAATTCCCATGGATGACCAAGAGATAATTTCTCCTTACAGCATCAATACAATTTATTCAAAAGTGTACATGCGCTCTTCCTTTTTCCTTTCGTTTTCTAATTGACACGTATCAGACTGTGACAGATACACCGAAGTCTGTTACGGGGATAAAATAGAAAACAATGAGAAAAAAAATAATAATTAAGATGTCAGCGCGCTGCACCTCACTCCCAGAGTTCTGCGGCTGATTTTTTCTTCGACTGGTATAACGGACCTCGCCAACTATAGTCTACGTAAATACCCCCTATATGATCTTATGCGCCGATCAATTCGAAATGTCCCGGGTTCATTGCAGTGCATACTTGAGGATCATTTTGTTCACCGGGATCACATATGCATCAGTTGCACAGATGTAAATTTCTCTCCTTGCGTGTGACTCGCCCTTTGTGACCGCGCTTACATTCGATAAAAATATTAGTCTAGTATTAGATAAAAAAATCTCTTCTGCTGCTATCTTCATTCGAGACTAGAAGGATTTTAAGAAAGGTACAGGGATTCACACAAATTTAGATTGCGCCTAAGCTGAATAAATGTTCTCGAACAACTACTGAGGAGATGAAAATCTTCTTTGTTTTCCTCTGTCCTTTACTTCCTTCAAACGCAGTGCTAACTTTAACATCCTCCCTTGCTTGTCAAGTTGATCCTGAAAATCACGTCGCAGATCTCCAATTTCCTTCTGAAGGTCTTCATTTGTTATTCTACTAAAATGGTCTCTGTCGGGATGGCACATCTAAAACGTGCAAAAGTCAAACGCCTCCAATTTAAAATGAAAAATACAATTTTAAGACAGCGATGATCAAAAGTTGTCAACTATAGACTTTAATTTTCACAATTGTGGAATAAAGATATGCTGCAGAGATCGACGCGCTTTTTGCCTGTTCTTACCTTAAGAGCAATCAGGGCATAGCCTTTTGGTAAAAAGGATGGATAGTTTGTAAATGTTCGCAAACATTTAAATTACTCAAACTTGAACAAAATTTTAGTGGTCTTTTCAACACTGGATACAACAAAGTTCTTCTTCGCCACATGCTTCTAATTTGGTCTCATGACCAATCCCTTGATTGTAACTGGAGGAGTGTGCCGAGGCGTGATATGTTAGCGGATCACCGATGAAACCATAGTTAGTAGAGGAGACTACTAACTATGATGAAACCAAACCATTTACAGATTCAATTTCTAGCCCATTACCCTCCCCTCCCCCCTCCCCGCTCACCCCTCCTTCTTTCGAACATACCTTGGTGAGCACTGTAATGCCTTCAGATCCCAATGAAACGAAGGGAAATAGTTCATTTCCCTCTGTATACTCCAATGAAGAACGCGCTACTTCTCTACCGTTCAAGGAGAATAACACAGAGACTTTGCCCTCGAGGTTTCCACTAAAATCAACTTCACAAGCGATGAGATCGCCGCGGTAAGCCATGGATCCTAAGTTATCAACAGAAAACATAAAGTACATGGCAAAAATATAGCAAAATAAACCAAACTTGAGGCAACCAACCGTGTAACACCAGGATGTGAAATTGGACTTTTTTTCTTTGTTGTTCGATCTTGATCAATGACCTACTTCTTCGTTCATCCGAACACAAAGCTTGATCTCTCTTATTCTGTTTATATAAGGAATGTTAACGATAAAAATGATTCATGCAACGTCATGCATTTGTTGATATGAATCTCGTTTTTCTTTGGCCTTTTATGTGTTCTCTATAAAGCATTCCATCGGCAAGCAGAGGAGGGTTCCAGCCCCCCACGATCAAAGGATTCAGGGATCTTTTTTAGTTTCACACTCCAGGCACATGGATTTTACAGTAACTTCGTTCAACATTCTATGTTGGGCACACAACTACAATACATTCCTCATTTATCTCTTGCACGTCAGAATAATCATTGCGAGGGATTCTACTGAAACAGAAACCTATTGTCACAAGGTCGCCCTCAAAAGGACGGCAAGGCATTGACCACGTTCCCGAGCGCCAAGAGATCCTTGTGGCAGATATCGTACACCTATCGTCACAGTAACCCATACCTTCGACTTCTCTTCCCAGCTTGTGGCAGCCAGTTTCAAATATTTTACCATCGTCTATGTGGTAACCGACTGCTCCTCTATCCCAGCCAGGCATTCTGTGACAGTCGTACGACTGAGGCACAGCACCCAGAGCCACAATACGCCTCTCTCCAGTCTCCTGAATAAGTACCTACAAAACAATGTCGGACTTTTGTTTTTTAAACTGTTGTTACGGTTGCCCCAAGCCCAAGTCCCATGCTTTTAATTTTTGTTTCAGGCTGCAAATGGGTTTTTCGCAAATGAGCGCGAGGGAAAAAGATAAAGACGATGTTTGCAATAATATAAACAATCAACATCCGAAATAATGATCATATAAACAACAAAAGCACCTATAATAACAACTGCAATAATGATGATAATTATAAAATTTATAATAGCACTAATATAAATAATAATAGCAATAATAATATTAATAAAAACCATTACATTATTCAAAGGTGGCCATCAAAGGCCGTATAACTTGGCCCTGAAATGCACCTCAACGAAAGAGAAGAAGGAGATGAATTTAACCTTTCACACTCTAACATCATTATGAATATTCTACATGCTGTTCTCCGTACATTTTTTTTTTTGCCAATTTGTAATTATGATATGTCAGTAGAAATAAAAAAGGAATTTCATATATATTATTATGATATAACTGAATATTTAACATACGGCGAGGAAACCCGTAGGGAAAGCAAGAGGCTCATGCTAGCTGCAGGCTCCTCATATTTTACAAAAGTGAGGTGTCGGTTTTATGGCGTGATTTAGGTATAAAAATATTTTAGGTTAAAAAGGAAAGAACTCACACACATAAAACGGCTGAGGTTCCTACATTTGCGCTAACAAGGAAGAATTATTTAAACAATGAAGAGCTTTTCCGGTTGGTGATCATTTACTTTATCCATGTGACCCTAATGTTTGACTCAGGGATGATAATGTGAGGAGAAATTACATGTCAGTCACTCTCAGGTGTTACAGGGTTAAGTGCCCAAACGAGATCGATGTTGATACGTTACCATGAAAGAAGGTGAGAGTAGGATACTACAAGAGGAACATAGAGATGTTTTTAGGAACCGATCTTGTCTTTCTATTATGGAGGCACCGTTAGGCTCATTCTTTAAAAAAATGAGTGTCAACAGTTCTCCAAAATAGAAAGAATATGAGCGTCTACCAAAGGGAGGTTATTAAAAGGAAGAGGGTCAAAAGGAGTTGTGCTTATGCTGCATCTTCAGAGAGTCTATCATGAAGCAGGAAGTATATGAATTAAGTTTGTTGTTCGCAAACAATTCTCTATAGGTCAAAACCGCACCTCAAATCGTGGTGTCTCTTGTGTGAAGGGAGACTTGAATTTGGCACTGTGAATTTTCTTAGCCTTTCCTCTATTGCATGTGTCGCAGAAATCAGGTCCCATGTAAGTTAGGAGACAGCCATCGATAGCAATTCCCGGCGAATCATACCACGCCTTTAAATGACAATCGAACAAAACGTCAGTAACATGAGGGACCCCTCAGGCGGCTGGTATGTCACCTGAAAATGTCTGCGGCTGAGACATTGTCCAAAAAGCGCAGCTTCAAGGACAAATTTGTAAAATTGGAAGACAATCTCTCAACCAGGGACATTATCAGCCAACATACCAGCAAGCCAGAAGGGGTTTTATTCAATTTATAACACTCCCATTCGTTTTAGTCGACAGCAAAGTTTGCTGACTTCTTTGTACTTTCTGGAGCAGTATTTGAGATCAGCTTTTTTAAGTCACTACAAGACTGTTCGTTTTTCTTCAAGGGTAGAAGGACTACCACACAACATTTCTTGAATGATTTTCTCAATCGCACATTTAAATTTTTGTTCGAGAGAAAAGGTAAAAAATGTAAATTAAAAAGGTTAAAAAAAAAGGTGTATCCTGATGTAGCAGGATCTATAGTATACGGCAGGGAAATTTCTTGTTTAATCAACAATGTGAATGTGGGCCTGAAAAACACTCACTCTTTGGCCAAACGCAAGTTTCTCCTCCTTGTTTCCACGCAGTCGGAATACTTGCCGAACTATCTGATTGGCCAATTTTCGACCTCCCTCATTTTCATGCACCAAGTGATCCATCTTTTTCCCCTCTAAAACAAAGCGAGGAAAGAAGTATTAAATTGGCCCTTTTTGAATCGTGTTAGCAAAATATTCAAAATACGCCTCGTTATGAATAGACTATCATCACTGGAATTATTTTTACCTGAATGGTTTAAAGTTCTTTAGAAATGTTAATTTGATAATAACAAAGCAAGGTTTAGTAGAACAAAATGTCTTTGTGCAATATTCTTTTTTATGAACATATCATAGATATCTGGGGCTATCTACCAATCTAGCATATAACCCACCTGTGAGGGGAAATTCATAACCGTATTTCTCGAAGTACATATTTTCTAGTTCCTTCACCACTTCATCCAGAGCCGCTCTCTGTCGAATCAAAGAAGGCCACATCGAAAGTGAAGTAAAATCACCGAGCACACCTAAATGATAACTTTAAACAACAGCAGCTTGTCAAAACTCACAAAACTAATTGGCAAGGCGTTACCAACTTACCCGTCTCTCGGGCGAAGCAGGAGTGTCGCACCATGTTTTACATGAACACTTCCGACGGAGGTTCCAGAGTACTATCAGGGGGACGGACAAAAGGTTGAAGGGCACTGGTATCGGATGATAGGTACTGTAAGTCCTAATAGTAATGGCTCTCTTGAAAGACCACTCCTGCATCGAATTATCCTAATAACGGAGGAATAGAGAGGGAAGTAACAGCCTCTAAGGAAGAACCAGTTAATAAAAACAACAGGCGACACTCCTATAGCGCATCGCCCAGAATTCAGCGACATATCCGGGACTTTCATTGAGACGCTGGCGCTAAATTTAAAAGCTAATAAGAAAATGATTGTCAAACAATAAAGGAAAAGGGCTAAAAATGTCGAGGAAGGCTTATGTTCTCTTCGTTTACGGATAAACTACTTTTCAAATGCTACTTTTACCATATGGCTTTTAAAGAAGAAAGTTCAATTGAACAGTGTATCATTCTCACTTTGTTCTTGCGCTTTCAGAAGAGGTCGCAAATTTGCCTTGAAAATTGGATATGTTAGCATCCTGCTTGTATGAGAAGTCGATCTCAGCGCACTTTCAGGCGCAATTTATCTTCACTCAATTGCTAGATTTCTCTTTTACCATATGGTTATTTTTATTTGACATTCTAGAAAGCGTCATAGAAATTTTCAAGGGATTCCAAACTTTGGAAGTAGTCGCAAAACGCGAATTTCGAAAACGTTTGCTAAGCATCGTAGTGTTCTATCCAAATTTGTCCTTTGGAGACCCCCACGAGAATACAAGTGACCTATTTTAAACTTCCCGCGAGAATATCAAGGTATGTTAAGCTCCGCCTCCGCAAACAATCGCGCACACGCCGCCTAATTAGTATTGAAATTGAGGTGGTAACTAGACAATGCTTAAAAAACTGTAAAAGCTTTTAAGATATGATCGCTGAGATCGCTGCAGAAATATTCAGCAATCGTTACTATCATATGGAAACCACACTCCTATTATTGTCGCAAGATAGACTCTAGTTCTATCTCGACGATCGTCGCACTCACAAGCCGGTTGTCGGAAGCATCGCTCATATTTTTCTCTACCGATTGAAGCGATTTTAACGAAGTAGATTCTTCATGATACTTTTTTTCTAAATTTTTCTTTTTTCTATTTTCTATTTTCATGATACTAATTTTTATAATTCCGATAACATTTTGACCAACGGGAGTCTGTCAGTCCATATAAGAATTCGCCGCAAACGAATTTGCTAAACGCTTTGTTAAGAGCGTGGCTATTGTTAATTATTGCTATTGTTCACTTTATGTCACCTTGGGATTTACTTTACGCATCCAACCGTTTGATTGACAGCACCTGAAATCTGCAAAGAGACTCGTGTATTCCCAAAGCTTTACCTGCTGACCAATCACAACCGACTAGTTCAGGATATGCAAATTATTATGCTGCCCGCTGATTAAATGGGCACTGCAAGTACATGTCGCGAAAGACAATAGCATTCTGGGCGATGGTAGGAATATTTTGACATATCATACCAAAGGGACAATATTCACCATCATTTTCGTCTAAAGCGTCAGTCGGCCAAAAATACATTTATAAATGATCATAGAATCTTCTGAACTTTGCGAAAAATGTATTTTATATCTTGCGGCAGTAAAGTCCTATTAAGTTTACAGTCGAGAACTTCTCATATTTTATTAACTCTGGATTATGAACAGAATTAACATACATCAGCGAAGGTTGAGAGACTGTTTAGTACCTGAACCTGCTGATAGGTGTTGGAGAGTAACGCAATCATCATGTTTACGAGAAGAATGACTGCCATGATTAAAAAGAAGCTGTACAGCACATGAATAAGATAAACGGATGGATTGTCGACGGAGTTCAACCTATCCAGGTCAGCTAAACCCAGTAAAGACCAACCAAGGTGTGTCGCCATGTTCCACCAACTGAAGAACATAAGTAACGATTTAGATCGAAACACCATTTAATTTTTGAAATTGAGATCGTCATAAATGTTTTTAAACGTCTATATCCTGGAAGCCATCGTGTCACTACTCCTACATGAATCATCGATTAAAAAAATTTGCTTTCAAGATTCCTGGTAAGCTCTATTAAGTCAAACATCAACACATTTGTATGTTGGTATCCAAATTATTACTAGATATCCTTAAACCTGAGGGATACCACAGAGAAAAGAAATATCGTCGATGAAGTCTAGATTTTTCTCAGATGGATAAACCGTAAGGTACCTCTTAAAAAGGTAAACTAAGAGCTGGGTTGGCCTTTTTGCAGTAAGTAACTCTGCTGCCATGAAAGGAAAGAGCGTCTTCCCTGCAAATTTTTCATGATGAGGCTGGTAAAGCTCGTGGTTGAACGTCAGTACTCATTTTAACACATCAGTATGATTTTTTCCACTATTTTTCCGCCCGGGAGACCTTAATTCACCTTTTCGATCCTCTAGGTGTAGAATTTCACGCTTGAAAGTTTTTAAACAATCGCAGCATATTGAAAGCCCAAATTCAAGGTTAGCAAAAATTTAGTGTAACATCGTTTATTTCAGACATCAGAGTACAAAGTTAAAATTAGAGTATAAAAAAAAAACAACAACAACAGTTTTACTCTTACCAAATTAGCCCGGAATCACTGCATGTCCTAAACATGATAGGAGAAAATGAACTTGTCAAAGTTGTCAAAGTTACAACAACACCACCCCCCATCTAAAATTATATTTTACAAGGTTGTGCTGTTCCACAGAAATTGTCAACATTCCTGAGCCCATACATATAGCCCATACATACAGAAGCACAAAAAGTCAGTTTATAGCAAGTCTCTGACCCCACAATTTATGACTATGACTTCAGCGATAATTAATGGGTATCAGGCTATCATAATTTGATTTCAAACCTTTTGTGTAGTAGTGGTGCTACCTAGTGACTTATTTATTAGGGCTTCCTTTTGAGAATTCCTGCTTGAGCATTCATGAAGACTGTAAAAAATCGGCCTTTCATGCAAAATTTGACATTCTGATCTGAGTAGTTTTACTCTTCTGTTGGCTTCCCATCCAAAAAACTTAATCTCACTTGCTTAGCTTTTAGCCCACTATTTCCCACGTCAGGTGCCTAGACATACTTGAGGTTCCCCTCTATAACGTAAAAGGAAAGATCTTCCACCCCACTACTAAAAAGAGTAACAAATGAATAAGCCCAACAAAGAATCGCAATGTGTACTCACAAATCCTCCACGGAATATTTTCCTAAGGTATAAGCCTTCTCAGCAACATATATCTTGGTCATAGCCAGAGAAAATGCTAGAATCATGGCCAAAAACTGCCAAAATATCGCCATTACATTCCAGATAACAGAGAACAAAGCGATTTGTATTTCTCCCATTCCCTGCACGCCCTCTATGACTTGACCAGAGGTTCTCAGTGTGAGAAACATGGCGATAAATCCATAGAAACACTCTGACACAGCCAAGAGTCTGTTGTCTGACACGTCCGTGGAGTTCCTCCATGTAATTATGCGTAGTATGAAGGTAATCAGGTAGAAAACAAGAATGATGAAGTCAAGCACATTCCAACGGTCACTATAAAAGTAGTAGATATCAATACTAGAAGACCATTGTTTATTTAATGTGATCAATGAACACACCTTGCATAATTATGAAGCAAGATAATCAGTTCTTACATGTAACAACATCTGTTGTTACAATGAGTACGAGCTAATTAATGGTGTACCAAAACAATAAACACTGGTTACTGTTGTTGAACCAACGCAGTGAACAATGCCAGCTCATGATTGATGGTGCAGCTCTAAAAAAATGACCAGTGCACCTAAGCAGAAAACAGTGACTCATTTTGTTACCTTCGCCAAGTCGATAAACCTTTTTCCCCATCCTTCTTAGCTGATCATGCCCCCATATGAATAAAAATCCAGAATTAAAAAACTAGAAGTCGGACAATAAAAACCTGAAATACCTGAAATAATTACTAAGCTTCTTCCGCAATATATTGTCTTCTTCTGCCTCATTTGTCTCTTGTTGACCCTCATGTGAACCTACTTGGTAACTGGAGCCATCTCTACTCCTCCTCCACAGCTTGGCACCAATAAACTGATCCACCTCCACCAAAACACGTCCCAGGAAGAAACCTAAAATGACCCATTCTAGTCGACTGAAGGCAACAGTTGAAGGGGAAAGGCAAATGGCGAAGTGAAGAACGAGGAGGATGAGATAACTCAGCGTGTCGCGGAAAAAGATGAAATAAGGAGTCGTAAAGTAATCCTTGTATTTCTCTGGAAGACATCATAGTAATCATAGTTATACTGGGTAGGACAATAATTGAGACGCTAGCTTAGAATGTTCAAAAGTTCAACGGTCTTTGGAATTCTAACCACCAACAATAACCCGTCCTCACCATAGATGTTCTTTCCTTCGATACCTGTAAGAAAGTAAAACATATCGATTATAAAGCCAGTCACACTTCTACGAAGTGGGGAGAAAAGTTAAAGCTTATAAAATATACCACCGTTTAAAACCTTCCTCAGTTAGAATTGTAACAACTGCATGCAATACTTTCTTTTTTTCCCCAAACCAATTAGGAGAATAATCATTCTAAGGAGGGTTTTCTTATATCGTAATTTGAAACCTCCCCAAGTTACCTTGTAAGACAGCTGTCCCCAACGTCTCGTGTGACTCGTATTCTCCAAAGTGACGTGCTGTGCCATCTTTAGTTGCCATCTCATTTAATTCTGATAATTTTGCGCACGCCCCGATACCGACGGGAACGATGTTAACTTTCATCTCCTTTATCTCCTTTAGTAAGGGCGGTAGTGTCTCGGTGTTAGCCTCAACCTTGCGTATCGAGTCATTAAGAAAGAGCACGACCACCTAATGTAGAAATAAAATTTAAAAAATGTGATATTTATTCCCCTTGATTCTCAAAAACAAAGTTACAAGTTTTATCAAATATGAGCCCAAACTTATCAATTTTGAAAATACACTGGCCTTCTTATAAATTAAAGGAGCTGCTTGAATTTTTTCAATGGAAAAAAAAAACACTTTTAAGAAAACAATAATTGGATTTGCATTAAATATTACTGATGCGCTTGTAAGTATCTTAACTACTGACCGGGGATCTATTGCAGAAGTTATTGATGGTTTTGTTTATCTCGCCATTTAATTAATCTGTTCACACAACTGATAACTGTAGCTGTCATGTACATACAATGCATGATAAAGAACTAAATCATTAATATGTATGCAAAAATGTCAACATGCTCTTTGGCTGAGAAGGCGTCAGTTAATGGAAATAGTGAAATGGATAGCAGAAAGTTGAAATTAATCGATTGACACTAACTTAAACATAATTTGTGTTTATGTGTTAAAGATATTTCAACTGTAGCGTGTGGTCGTCAAAATCAATCAACATTGAATATGAATTGTATCAAATTGTAAGTATAACTAACCAAGGTCTGATAACAGCCCATGGCTGCAAAATGAGCCCATGGGAACAAGTTAAGAGACAAAACTCGACAGCGCTCAAGAAAACGGTTGTTCGCAAGTATTCCTCACCTTTTTGGCTTCTTTCCTATGTGTTTGGTTTGTGAATGCACTTTGGGTGGCTTTAAGATCTTTATCGAGTGAACTGGTAGAGTTTGGCCGCTGTAACTCGTCAATCCATGTTCGAAGTGCAGCCTCAGTAGACCACCCCTCTATATTGATAATTTTATGGTCTCCACGTAAAACAACACAGTATTTGGCAGAGTGGCAGCCATATTCACCAACAATGTACTTTATCGTCCTTTTAATTAGATTAAATTCTGAGGTATCTTTGCCCAGCGACAAAACAAAACATATTTCAGTTTCTAAAAAATCATTAAGGAAAGCATTAGAATCAATAAAGGAAACATACAACAATTGATACAAAGCACTTCAACAACTCCCCAGTAGCTGCTTGTATCTAATCTCAAAACTTGAATATAGCGATCTAAACCAATCTTAAGAATAGTGGGAATAAATACCAGACCTGTAAACGCTCCTTGAACGATGTAGCCTGCAGAACCGGCGGAGTTTTTTGGCGTTTTCCAGGCGAATGGAGGCAAACACGGGGCAAGCACGAAGCGCGTTTCACGCGCCATGGAAGAAATGCGTGACCCGCACTTTGCGCGTAGTTTTAGCAAGGACTCCTATATTCTTTCAGTTGAGAGGACTCAGCTTGCATGGTAACTCAGTTTCATGGAGTTAAGAATAAAAAGAAAAGCCATCACCCTCCGCGCCTCACCCCCCCTCAAGGCCCAAACCTTTTGAATACTTTAGAGCTTGCTAAAAACGCATTACAATGTAATGCTAGCAAAACGATATTACAAACCTCTTTTCCTCCTCAAGGCCTGTTTTATCAAATGCACGACGAAGAAAATGGCAAAGAGAAAGGGAAAAAAGACGATGTCAAACACTGTCCAGAGGTTGAGAAAAAAGTATCCCCAGCGTTGAGGTGTCCGCCATGATTCTTTTCTTACGTGAAAAAAGGATTGGTACCATCTGGAGTTGAGCAAGTTATACACCACTGGGTGAGAGATGAACTGCGAAAAAATTCGTCGATACATTATTTTATAAAATAATTCAAATAGTACGCGCGCTCCGATTGGCCATAAAACCATTTTACACGAGCGTATGTAAACACGGTTTTCGTTCCTCTTTCATTAGTTATTTTATAAAAGAAATGTAAAATGGTCTCCGTGTTTACATAGCCTGATGTAAACACGCGGGAGGTTGGGAGAACACTCGATAAGCTGGAAACCACTCCGCTTCGCGTCGTGGTTTCCTACGCTTATCTCGTGTTTTCCCAACCTCCCGCGTGTTTACATCAGGCTATGTAAACACGGAAACCATTTTACATTTCTTCATTACGCAATAAGCTTAATTTGGACTGGTTCTTGCTTATTACTTTGGCTTCATTTAAATCAAAACAATTCCAGCGACATATCAGTGATACACTCGACCGCGCGTCATCAGCGACCTTTTTGCTCTTGCCACATTTTGACGTCATCTGTGATCTACAACAGAATAGAACTGCTAAAGCAAGGGTGTAAAGAAGATTTCTTCGAAATAACTAATACAGTTTAAGTTGGAAACTAATTTCTGACCGGATTAGCTATGGCGCCGAGCTGTGAATATGCTCAGTGTCTTTAAATCATTCAGTTTGGCGTCATATCATTCAGTAAATTCACCAGAATATAAATTTCTTTCACTGGAAATTGATTAATTGCTTCCTTGTACATACAGCGGAAAGACAAGAATGAAGTCATGTACATTAAATTGGCATCAAGTATACCGTAATATTGTGTGCATAAATCTTAAAAAATATATATTTTCCCCTTTGTAATATCACACAAAGCCTCCTCACCGGTGGTTATTGGTGGGAACATTGTTGTCTCTCTTCTTTTCTTACCTTTATAATACGTAAAGGTAAGGGCACCTGTGTGTTCAGATGGGCGACAGCATTCCCGCTAAAATCGACTTTAGGGCTGAAGGATATCATAAAGTATTGATTGGAAACCTTTTTATCACTCGTGTAGTACCTTCTTCTGCTTCGATTCGTGTCAATTGCCTTGTCCATCAGATCATCAAAACAACTTTGAAATGTATTTCTGGTATCGGCGTCGGCTTTAAGGGGATCTATCAAGGCTGATGTGAACTCGTCAATAGATTTTTCAAGCTTTTTTATATCGTACTTCTCCGGATTTGCACCATCCGCTAAATCTCGCAGTGTTTTGTTGACCTATGTTTAAAAAGGAATAAAGTTATCTTTTTTATCAAATGGCTCGTTAAAAATCAAAGAAATTGTTTCTGATTTCTCGTTAGCCTCCAGTGTTGAACATAGCAGGAGAGTTTTTTCGATTGTCCTTTGTAAATTAGTACACTGAAACCTCGATGACCAATAAGAAAGAAAACAAGATATAACTGCAAGCCAGTGATACTTCAAACTTACAAGTACACTCTCAGACAGTGAACAAGTAGCAATTGGTTGTAACTTAGACGCTAATTAGTAGAGAGAGTGGTATGCGCATGACGAATCGAGCTAATCGTATGGAGAAACGAAACGAAAATCAAAGTAAATAAGGATCACTTTTGTCACTTGGTCTGGCGATACAGCCCTAAGTAAACTATGCCAGTAAAATAGGTAAAGATAAAGTTACAAGACCAACCTGGAAAGATTTGATTAAGGTGTTAGTTTTACACCATTTCAGGGTTTTTGGAGTCACTCTTTGATCAATCGCATGGAAATCACCCTTACGCAGAATATCATCCAAATTCTTCTCTATCTCTGTAAAACAATCAGACACATGCAAGAAAGATTCACAAGTATGAACATTTTTCAATTAAACAACCACCAAAAAAAGAAGTAAGTTTGAATTTCACCACCCTCTCAATGTGGCCCTCGTTTCTCGTGTGATGAACATTCTTCGGAGAAGGAAGAAACTTTGAAGAAACGAAATGAATGCATGTTGACTTAGTAACACAACTACACTAATGTTTTATTAAGTCTGTTTATTTGCGCTTTGTGTTTATGTCCTTCTTGATTCCCTCTTTCACTTACTTTCACGTTGGGATCGTTGAGTAGAAGCATCAATATTCTCATGCTCGTCCTCTGGGTCTACAGATAGGTGATAGAAAAGAAATTTATATCAAAATTTGCTATGTGTTTTTTCAGACAAAGATAGATCACAAGTGACGTCAAAATGTTGTAGAACGAAAAAAAAGGCAACACTTAAGGTAAAGGCGCATGCGTATGTCGCTGATGTTTATTTTTTTGTTCTTTTAACTAAATTTTGACGCCATTGTTTATCTATAAGTAGGAATACACTTAGTCGTACACGCATTTTGATTCGTTTTTCTTATCATCTATCAGAGGACAGACACAGACGAGGTCAACATCGCTACTAATAAGCTTAGTCCGAAAAATAATCGCAACAGTTGTCAAACTGAACACTATATTTGCTGAGGCAGAGAAAAAACAGCTTATTTGAGATAAACCATGCATCTGCACTCTTATAGATCATTGGCAACAGCCACTGACAGCCGACTGATTAATTGAGTTCACCACATAATTTTGCACACTCGTTGCTTGCAGAAAGGAGCTTTTCCTCCACGGAAATGAAAAAGATAGTGAAATCATTGATCACCTTACTCTTTGACGACGAGATGGCACATTACCTTCCCGGTGAGCTTTGACTCCAACAAAGAGTCTAATTCAACCAGTTAGAAACGCAAGGCATAGAAAACGAGTATTGTGAAGACTCGATATAATATAATTCAATTTTTTCCAACCACAAAAAAACGGCGTGCAAGGCATTTTCTAGTCCCCAGTTCAACACATTACCAATAGGAAGTCAAAATGCGTGCATTGACCACAAAAACCAAGGATAGTACAGATCCATGATGCAATATGCCAAAAATGGCGTTAACTTAAGCTATACAAGGGTGTCATGAATATGAAAGCGATCTTCGCAGTAATGAACACTACTTGAGCAGTAGTGAAAATAAGGCCTGAAAAAACTTCAGGCCTGTACGATTTGAACCCATGACCTCTGCGATAACGGTGCAGCGCTCTACCAACTGAACTAACAAGCCAACTGGGAGCTGCTGTCAAGGGTGTCAATTGCATACCGAGTAAACTTCAAAGAGTCTAATTCAACCAGTTAGAAACGCAAGGCATAGAAAACGAGTATTGTGAAGACTCGATATAATATAATTCAATTTTTTCCAACCACAAAAAAACGGCGTGCAAGGCATTTTCTAGTCCCCAGTTCAACACATTACCAATAGGAAGTCAAAATGCGTGCATTGACCACAAAAACCAAGGATAGTACAGATCCATGATGCAATATGCCAAAAATGGCGTTAACTTAAGCTATACAAGGGTGTCATGAATATGAAAGCGATCTTCGCAGTAATGAACACTACTTGAGCAGTAGTGAAAATAAGGCCTAAAAAACTTCAGGCCTGTACGATTTGAACCCATGACCTCTGCGATAACGGTGCAGCGCTCTACCAACTGAACTAACAAGCCAACTGGGAGCTGCTGTCAAGGGTGTCAATTGCATACCGAGTAAACTTCAAAGAGTCTAATTCAACCAGTTAGAAACGCAAGGCATAGAAAACGAGTATTGTGAAGACTCGATATAATATAATTCAATTTTTTCCAACCACAAAAAAACGGCGTGCAAGGCATTTTCTAGTCCCCAGTTCAACACATTACCAATAGGAAGTCAAAATGCGTGCATTGACCACAAAAACCAAGGATAGTACAGATCCATGATGCAATATGCCAAAAATGGCGTTAACTTAAGCTATACAAGGGTGTCATGAATATGAAAGCGATCTTCGCAGTAATGAACACTACTTGAGCAGTAGTGAAAATAAGGCCTGAAAAAACTTCAGGCCTGTACGATTTGAACCCATGACCTCTGCGATAACGGTGCAGCGCTCTACCAACTGAACTAACAAGCCAACTGGGAGCTGCTGTCAAGGGTGTCAATTGCATACCGAGTAAACTTCTAGAGCCTTTTTCTGTTTTTTTTTTTTTTTTTATGATTATCCTTATCACCAGCCCAACCCAATCGTTTAGTTAATATCTGTCACATTCAAGACAAACCAAACTGACTGTATCCACAAAGTTCTTTAACAGGTAGATCAATAATGAATCAAAGCACGTTATCATTAATCCCACAAATCCTCATGAGACTCTCAGTGATCATACACACCAAAACCAGCAGGAATTTTCCCCTCGACCTGATCCTTATCTACGTAAGCATTGATGTCAAGTTCTGGTGATAGCCCCCTCGCAACTGCGGCAGGCACTGTAGGCACTGTTACCACTTGTTCTTCGGAAATTACTGACAGCTCCACTTCATCTAGTGCATCAGATCTAAAGCACAATTTACCCCATGGAATCAGCAATCAGGTATTCCAGTTACAAACGGCGTACAACCTGGTTTTCATTAGCGACGCAAGCACAAGCGTGAGCACAAACGTATGCACAAGTTAAATATACCAAGTGAAAACGAACGTCGACAAGCACAAGCACAAGCACTAGTACAAGAAAAGGGAAAAATTCTGATTCTTGTGCCTGTGCAAGCGCTTGTCTTTTTGCTTGCATTGAGGCTGTTTTCACGGTGAAATAAGAGCTGTTATGCTTTATTTGTGCTTGCGCTTATGCTTTCGACGCTAATGAAAACCAGGCTTTATAGAACAACAAATAATGAAACTTCCAAACACATCTGAACTGATGCACATAACAACGAGCCTGAGAAAAATATTACTGTGTTTGAAAATGTACAAAAATGTCGGTATGATTCGGTGAAGATTTTATGTTTTCGAAACTGAAGAAATCCTGGTGTTTCATTCGCAATATCTTTATGTAAGAGACTATGATATCTTGCTTTATGTTACACAGAGAAAAATTTGAGAAAGGTTTCAATCTCTAAATGGACTGCGAGCAAGCCCTCCTTTTCGGCAAAGTCCATTGCGCAAGTCCGAAAAAATTAGCGAAAACAAGAATGTTAACGCGCCACGCGAAGTCTAGGAACTAAATATTAAAATGTTTGCAGCAAAGTTATCTAAGTTTCCGTAAAAGATATGACCATCAGACTGTTTCGTACCAGTAAATATAACTAATGCTGTAGTGTAGTGTACAGTCGAATCTGTATTAAGCGGTAACCTACGGGGAATGGCAGGATGACCGCTTGATACAGGTTCCACGTTCGATTTCATTTAACACCAGTAGTAAGATCAAGAAATAATTCTGTGCGTTTACCAGGCGACTTGACTTGCATATAGAGAGTAGTGGTTTAAATGAGTCACTGAAATACGGATAACTCTAGCTCATCTAAGGTCAAGTCTACCCTTGGGTGCGCCGATGGAGATTGATCTTACTAGTGCATATTTACACTACCCACTCCTCCAATGCAGAAAAATTGTCACTCCGACTTTTTTCTTGATCAGTGACGAGTTTCTCCACCTTCCTTCGGCCAAAGTCCCCCAATAACAGAAGGACTATTGTTTGATGCTTACTGAAAAAGTTGAGCCTGAACAATAGATCATTTCTTGATACGATGACCGGTCGGATGGTTTTTGTTTGGCCGCAAACAGATCGGAAAGTGACGTCGAGTTGAGAAGAGCATAAGGGAAGGCAGCTGGTTAGAAAAATCCAGTTTGTCAACAGAGGAAACTATGAAGTTTACATACTGGTGGTACCAGGGACTTGAGCAGTGGCAAATTAAACAGCAACTGGGACTGGTATCACATACAGCTGTGGACTAGGACATGTTTTACCGAGAAATATGCGAGGTTACACTGTTCGAAAGAAGAGAAAGACTTGGACGACCAGGAAGGTTGTGCAGATCGATGGGTCGAAAACAGGGAAAAGAAAATATCATCGTGGACACGTTGTTGAAGGCCAGTATGTTTTCGGAGGAATAGAGCAATATTCCCAGAAATGCTTAATTGTGACAGTTGAGGACAGAACCGAGGCAACACTCGTAAGCCATATTCATGAGTGGGTGGAGCCAGGAACGACAATTGTCCATGATTGCTGGAAGGATTACGTAAACTTAGAGAAATATGGATACGAACATAAAACAGTGAACCACTCTGTAGAATTTGTGAACTCGGAAAGTTACGACACGAACAAAATTGAAGGACATTGGAGGCAAATGAAGGTCAGTCTACCAACACATGGAAAAAAAAAGGAACATTACTCTTCATATCTTGCTGAATTTATTTGGCGTTACATGAACCGTGAGAAGGACTTGTTCTTTGTGTTTTAAAAGGATGTTACAAGCGTTTATCAATTTAAAGATTAGGACCAAAAGACAGTGAGGAACAATTGAATTAACCACCGATGAACATGCCCAAGCTTCGGCATTTTTATTTTGGCCATAAAAACCGCTTTATATTTTGTAATTGGTTTGCGAAAGTGATTGCAGGATCAGACTACATAGTGATCCATAGTAGAATTATCTACATGAAATTGATGTATTTAATCATAAGACTTGCTAAAGTCTATGTAACCAACATAAGATATGTAAAAGTGATATTAAAACGTTACGTTGAAATTGGAAAAGTGCATTTTATAACGTATTTATATTTACATGCGAATTATGAGGCCGCGGCACAAAGAAGTTCGTGTCGTCAATAAATCCGAATTGAAGCGCTTCAATGATACAAGCTTCACGCTTCACGACGCTTAAAGAACAAGAAACAGACAATTCTCGGTACGCGTCTTGCTTGTGAAGACTGAAGTGCTGACTTAGTGGCTTGTTGCCTAAAATTTCACGCGACACTCGCTACTGATAAATTTTGTGTTTACAATTTACGCGTTTTTATATAGAACGAGGCATAAAAAAAATGGCCAAATATTTGGGTACTACGTTTTTAGAACGAGAAATGAAGTTGAGGTTTTCACGTTCTTAATACCAGAAATATCGCGTTCATAGAAAGTAATATCTGACCTTAGTGTTTAAGCTGTGGAATTACTTACCCATTGACGCTTTAAAAACGAGGAATACATTACAATCTGTCTTGAATTATTTATTCATCACGGCGTAAAAATAAATCAGCGTCTTGAAGGTGGAATTACTTTTAGGCTTTGATCCAGGGCTTTCAAGCTCAAAGAACGAGGGATGTACATTCCTCTGACTTAGATTATTTATCACAGCGTACTGCGTACCGGAAGAACAAGGAATGCACAATACTTTGTCTTCGTTATCACGGCGTACCGCGTAGCCAACATAACATTGCTGCGCCATTTTGAATTCATTTGTCCATTGAATAAATTTAATTCTTATTTGAATTAATTATTTTCAGGGTACCGCGTAGCCGGTTACGTGGAATTTACTTCGAGTGACGGTGTATTCTGCAGTTAAGCCACAGTTTCTGTCGCAACTAAAATGCAATGATTCTCTTTAAAGAAAAAAAGACAGCCATTATTGATTTTGTGAAAGTTTCGAGCCATCATCGCTTTGTTAAAATGACGTCGTCACAGGATTTAATTTGTGCGCCACTCAAGAAGACGTGATAAAGCACAGGCGGCCCAAGATGATCATCTTGGGAAGTCAAATTCTCAATACTTGCTTCCATAGTGCATCACTTGTTATCTGACCGCTTGCTAAGTTGAAAATAACCAATTTTTAGCGAGTTTTCCTTTTCTAGGGCTTCGGCTTGTGTCGTTAGGTTGAGGTATTTTTTATTGAGAATTTGACTTATTTTTCTATTCTTAAGATAAAGGGAACAAATCAAAAACTGCAAACAGAGCCGCATTCCGAAAGGAAATCTACTGCGTCGCTTTTGTTTCTCGTTTCTTAACAAAGAAAAGTGTGCATAATGAGTAACGAGAAATCCTGCTCAAGCATGCTTTAAAACTACCTTCGCCAAATCAGAATCGAAAGAAAAAACGCTTTCAGAGCGAAGACCAGGATTTCTGTTTGTGAATTAATTTTGAAAGAATATAAGACCTCAACAAAGTTTTCTTTCTCATTTAGTAACTTATTTCAAAGTCAATCTTAGTCAAAATACATTTGCATAAATTTTTCCGCAATTTAACACCTGGAGTCTACTGTTCGATAGCAGAACAGAGCTAAGTCGAATGAACTCCGGATGGGAAACCCGTCCAATCTGTGATGTTCCACACAACTAACAGTCTCTACTGAGTTCAAGACATCACGCTAGCAACAAATTAGAACACGTTATGATGTAATAATTTAATCAAAACAGTGTTGACAATCATCACTTACCTATTCCCAGGGTCGGCCATTATCTTCCTGCGCAAGACGGCTGAAAGTCCTTACGGATTATGTGCTGGAATGGAGTTCTACAAAATAGCAGCTGTAACTAAGAATCGATTGGCTTCTAGTTTTCCTTCCTCAACCTGTCTACAATGAGTGATTACAAAAATTAACGCACACACGTAGCAGATCAAGGTTGAAGTGCACAAAAATCTTGACGGTGATTGGTCAATTTGTAGCAAGCCTCACTTCGCAAGTGAATTATTCACATGCTAGAGATAAACATTCTTTCACCGCTGTTTTTTTTTTTTTTTTACATTGATTAGCTGAAAATCTCAAAAATACCTCTAGACACGTAAACAGCCGCACATAACTGGTAGATTTTTAATCCTTCCATATTGTTATCCTGTCTAATTTAACACGCAAAAATTTTCAGGTCCATAATAAAAAAGAAAGGTAAGAGAGGATCACCTTGAAGAACCCTATGCTCTGTACAAAGGAGAGTTTGTAACTGAAACCGTTATTCATAACATAACTTGATATATCTGTATATAAGGTTCTTATCCACTGCTTGAAATACGATCCAAAGTTAAATTTTTCCGAAACTTTAAATAGAAAATCATGGGCAACACAATTATTTGCTTTTTCAAATTTGATAACAACCAGGATCCCAGAGCTATTTTTCATTCCCAAACTATCCCCGATGGTCCACACTGCATCAAACACAGATCTTCATTTCACAAATCCATTTTGGTTGTAATGAATAATTTCGGTGAGAAAAAGTTCGAGCCCCTTAGTAAGCCTTCTGAAACTATTCTCAAATCGACATTTGTTGGTGAGATAGGGCACCAATTTTGGATGAAACGTTTATTCTAATCTTGTTTCCCAAAATAATCACCAATACTCGTCTCTGAGAAGAACAGAGTTGACCATGAACATGGGAGAAGTGTAAAGATTTAATGAAATGATTTTCCAAATATTCTAAAAAGGAAAGTAAATTCGGAAGTTGGGCCATCATTTCCTGGTGTTTTGTTTTGCATGAACGATTCAACTCGATTAAGTTTTTTAGATAAACACTGTTTACCATTGTCCGCTCCATTAAGAAAGTTATTCATAGAATCACCCAAAGTAAGTGAATTTTCCTTGTAAAGTTTAGAATAGAAGTTTTCGAATTCCGTCAGTATTTCCGTTGGTATTGTGCTCTGACTATTTTCATCAACGAATATATTCTTAATGCAGCTCTTTTCCTTTTTGTTATTTTCTAGGTTGAAAAAAATTTTATTCCCCAGGAAGCCGTAGTCTTAGAAAATAGCCAAGTTAATCACGTTTTTTCGGTAGTACGCACAAGTAGTCAGAACAGCTGTCATAACACAGTTATATGATATGAATATTTGATTTGAATTGGGCTAGTTACTTGGGCTGAAACTTGTGAAAGAAGGCGCGGTGAGAACAGGGCAAAATTAAATAAGAGCAAATAAGATATTTTTGGAATATTGGTCTTATTTTTTCTCAGTGACGCTGCACGTGGGTAAATTGTTGAATTTTGGAAGGTTTCTTGGCATAGAAGAGGAATCGGTATCTTTCTGTTTTCAACATTTCCTTAGCATACGCGGAAGATTGTGATCCATTGAAGGTAGTGAAATCTCCAGTGTTGTGGGATAACGTGGGGTCTTTCCTCCAATTCTTACACAACATGCCTGATCACGAAGAATATTTTTTGCCAAGAGTGAAGGATTTTTAAAAAGCATTTGGGAGCAAACTCGTGCTAGTCGTCGCGAACTCGTCGGGGAGGGGGTAAACTTGCAATGTGGGGGACTAGGAACCAGTTATCATCTTCCAGGGTAAACGGAAGGGCTCCCAGATGATCTTGCTAATAATCTGCTCATAGATCTTCTACGCGTCTGTCCTCCAATCGATCATAGGCGAGAACCAGTCTGAATGCGTGAACAATTCATCCTCTCACAAAATTACTCTTTGCAAATACTAAGGAACCTCCTCATCTTTTACAAAGCTAAATATTTTTCAAGTTCGAAAATAAAGTTGAACTAGGTATCCACATAATACTTTCGTGAATGATTCAATGAAACTGCCGAGTACCTGTATATCTCGCAGCCTTTTCTGGGATGTCACGCAACGTGCATCAGTTGCATGACGTCGCAAAAACGGCTACAAAGGGAACAAGTGTCTGATACGCAAAAGTATAAATCTAGACATGCTGGATATGACTGTGGAACAAAAGTATGAGCAATTAAGCTATTTTATGTATGCTGCTACAAAACGAAGAGAGTAATTGTCGCAATTTGCTCCTAATTCTTTTCACCATTTGCCAAGAAAAAATATGAACAACAACAGCCAGTCCAACTTATTTTTACTTTCTGGCTACCTTCTATATTAAAATATTCATAAAAGCTAACTAAATGTTGCTGAGTCAGACTTAGCGAAAGAGTATCTCTTCAAATTAGATATTTATAATTGCTTACAAAATTATTTATGTTTTTTGGAAATTTGAAACTCACTAGTGATTATTGTTGCTTTATATAACGTTCACGTGACATTATTGAAAGTCTTTTCAATAAAATTGCGTGGGTTTGCATTTTCCTGTTGTTTAACAACTCATTCCTAATTTACCAGCATCTTTAGTTCCACCTGCGAAAATGAGTTGTCAATCATACTCTTCAAACAACTCTTTCTTCAAAAATATCCTGGTCAGTCAAGACTTTTATTTTCTTGGGAGTTTGTACGCCATCAAAGAGTTACTATGTAATACAATTTTTTACTGAACCATTCATTCAGGCAACTTTCCACTTACATCAGGCGTTAGCTTTAGGCTAAACCTAGACAAAAAGACAAGATTGATTGACACATTTTACAAGGTTTACTAATGAAAATTATGAAGACCAACACTTCTCCACGAAAAAAAACCTATTTAAGCCCATTTATTCCAAGAAATATCAGGTAAGAGAGGAAACCAATGTGGAACCTTTAATTCCTATGGATGACCAAGAGATAATTTCTCCTTACAGCATCAATACAATTCATTCAAAAGTGTACATGCGCTCTTTCTTTTTGCTTTTATTTTCTAATTGACACGTATCAGACTGTGACAGATACACCGAAGTCCGTTACGGGGATAAAAAAGAAAACAATGAGAAAATAAAATAATAAAGATGTCAGCGCACTGCACCTCACTCCCAGAGTTCTGCGGCTGATTTTTTCTTCGACTGGTATAACGGACCTCACCAACTATAGTCAACGTAAAACCCCCCCCTTATATGATCTTATGCGCCGATCAATTCGAAATTTCCCGGGTTCATTGCAGTGCATACTTGAGGATCATTTTATTCACCGGGATCACATATGCATAAGTTGCACAGATGTATATTTCTCTCCTTGCGTGTGACTCGCCCTTCGTGCCCGCCTCGCGCTTACATTCGATAAAAATATTAGTCTAGTATTAGATAAAAAAATCTCTTCTGCTGCTATCTTCATTCGAGACTTGAGGAATTTTAAGAAAGGTACAGGGATTCACACAAATTTAGATTGCACCTAAGCTGAATAAATGTTCTCGAACAACTACTGAGGAGATGAAAATCTTCTTTGTTTTCCTCCGTCCAGCCTCTTAGTATCTTCTTCGTGTTCTTCTTTATCCTTTACTTCCTTCAAACGCAGTACTAAATCTCTCATTTCTGACATTAACATCCTCCTTTGCTTGTCAAGTTGATCCTGAAAATCACGTCGCAGATCTCCAATTTCCTTCTGAAGGTCTTCATTTGTCACTCTACTAAACTGGTCTCTGTCGGGATGGCACATCTAAAACGTGCAAAAGTCAAACGTCTCCAATTAAAAAATAAAAAAGACGAAATTTTAGGACAGCGATGATCAAAAGTTGTCAACTATAGGCTCTAATTTTCACAATTGTGGAATACAGATATGCTGCAGAGATCATTCAGAGCATTCAGGGCACAGCCTTTTGGTAAAAAGGTTGGATAGTTTGTAAATGTTCGCAAACATTTAAATTACTCAAACTTGAACAAAATTTTAGTGGTCTTTTCAACACTGGATACGACAAAGTTCTTCCTCGCCACATGCTTCTAATTTGGTCTCATGACCAATCCCTCGACTGTAACAGGAGGAGTGTGCCGAGGCGTGATATGTTAGCATGAAACCAAACCATTTATAGATTCAATTTCTAGCCCATTACCCTCTCCCTCCCCCTCCCTGCTCCCCCCTCCCCCTCCCCGCTCCCCGCTCCCCGCTCCCCGCTCCGCCCTCCTTCTTTCGAACATACCTTGGTGAGCACTGTAATGCCTTCAGATCCCAATGAAACGAAAGGAAATAGTTTATTTCCCTCTGTATACTCCACTGAAGAACGCACTACTTCTCTACCATTCAAGAAGAACAACACAGAGACTTTGCCCTCGAGGACTCCACTAAAATCAACTTCACATGCGATGAGATCACCGCGGTAAGCCATAGCTCCTAAGTTATCAACAGAAACATTAAGTACATGAGGCAACCAACCGTGTAACACTAGGATGTGAAATTGGACTTTGTTCCTTTTTGTTCGGTCTTGATCAATGACCTACCTCCTCGTTCATTCGAAGACAAAGTTTAATCTCCCTCACTGTATTTATACAAGAAGTGTTGACGATATAAATGATCCTAGCAGCGTCAAGCATTTGTTGATATGAATCTCGTTTTTCTTTGGCCTTAAATGAGTTCTCTGTAGACCATTTGATCGGCAAGCAGAAGGTGAGGGTTAGAACCCCCCACGATCGAAAGATTCAGGGTTTTTTCAGTTTCACACTCTAGGCACATGGATTTTACAGCAACTACGTTCAACATTCTATCTTGGTCACACAGCTACAATACATTTCCCATTTATCTCACACACGTCAGAATAATCATCTCGAGGAGACTATAACGATTTTAAAGTGATCCCTACAACGTTTACAAACGAAAATTTCTGAATCTTTTTCTTTTGAAAAACAGAAACCTACTGTCG